TGGAAATTTCATACAAAAGTTATCGTAGACGAAAAACATCGCCACACACAGACACGAGACAGGCAGACGTCAGCGTAAAAATAGTAAAAACGTGTTAGGTTTAAGGTTTACCTTAATTCGTGCTTGTTGACTGAGAAGTTCCTACTTGTATTGTTCGACTTACAATATATATATCTGTGTATATAGGTTAGCGAGAGGTGAAAAAACACCTTAGATTCTTAACAAAACAAAAAAGGTAACTGGAAAAAATCTGAAATACATCTAGCAAATAATTTTTAGTTATAGATTTTGACTTAGGTACTTTTCCGTTTCGCCGGCGCAAATCTCGCCAAGCAGACTTTATTAGCGAAAACACATAGTATACACATGAAAAATGTTAACCAATGTTAGCTTTAAGAAATTTTTATTTTGAAGGCATAAAAATTTTAATATCGTTTAAATTTTTGTAAAAAGACATTAATTTAAGAATTTACTGTGCTTTCATGGTACAACATCCTGATTCGCCGTTTCATATCACGTGACCCCGAGGGTTCTCACCTCACGTAAACTACGCTACAAAAATCTAATTCTCTCAGTAATTATCTACAGTAATTTCAAGTTAAATCTTAATTTCGAATAAAAGTTTTAATCAAGAATTATTTCAATTCGCACAAATAGCTTACTCAGAAATTATGTGAAACCCCACTGCTTTACTTCAATAGTGCATTATCATTAGAATTGATGAATTTAACCCTTGACGTTGCCTTTTTATATTTTCGCTTTCGGGTGAGCGGTGTGATTGCATCCTAATTACCGCGAATGACCTTCGGACATAAAAATTGAACTATCTGGTAAAAATTCTATGTAATTGTATGCCAGCATTGAAAGAATCAATCTGATAAGAAATGACTGCGACTTGTTTTGAAAATGAGGCGTAAAAATTTTACCAGCGAGGAAATTCCGTTTGGCCTCGATTGTACTATTTTTGGCGACTTTATCTTTTGCGCCGGCAAAATGGAAAAGTACCCAATAATATTATTTATTTAAATTAACAATCCAGATAAACTTATTACTTCTGAATAGTTAATAACTAAGGAATATCTAAGTTTTTAAGATTTATCAGTTCTAAGATATATTCCGATTTTACGTGTGAAGAATGAGGAGAATAAGGCATGAGATCTCGAATCTAAGAAATATGGCAGTTAATTTTATAATACATTAATTTCTTAATAATTTGCAAAAATAAATTCATCATTCAGTTCATTTGACATTTCTGTTTTTGGCGTAGTATAAACGAATTTAGTGAATCCGTTCGAAGTTTTTTCGAATTTTAGTGTTTAAAGATATCAGCCTTATTTACGGTTATTTAAAAATTTTAGAATTAAATTGTGTAGTATGTTTATACAAATTGTTTCATTTGACAGTTGTAATACCTGTTAATTATTTTTTCAAAATAAAACGAAAATAAAACTTTGAGCAAAATAAAACGCTTCCATCTAAATCCGCTGGCTTTACAGTTTGCCTAGGGAGTCACATTAAATTATTCTTTCACCTGGAATTCTCATATCAGCAGAATTCGCATTGGGAGTCACTATAAGATTATATCCACTTCTTAAAGATCGGTTTCTATCCTTAAACCGGAAAAGGCAAGTCAAACATTAGACCGATCTTTTCATACGCATCACAAACTTGGGCAAATCTCAGTAAAAAAGACATTCTGACTCTTCAGAGGCCACAGAACAAGATTTGAAGTATATGAACAGGAGTCCCCTACCATGTAAGAAACAAAAATATTCAGCAGATCTAAAAATGAGCACATTGCGAATTATCTTCAATGAAAAATCAAAATATCAACGAAAATTAATCACATAATTCTGCTAAACTTGCAAAGGCTCTCGCCTACGGGATCCTGAAACATCAGGCTCTTTGCAGCATTCTACTTAAAAAATACAAACTCACAGTTGAAAAGTGTCAAGTGAGTCGACAGCCAATCAGAAAAATGCACTTCATACTCAGCAATCAAATTTCGAGCTGCGCTGTGAAGAAATATTTATGTCTCAACGAACATTAATTTAAATGAATTTAAACTGGATTTATTTCCTCGTCAAACTGATAGGCTATCTGGATTTCTTTTACTGTGTCTTGAGCTCTCTGGAATTTGAAATTGAAATATCAATGAAATTCTGTGCAGATATTGCAATTTTTGATACATCACATATGCATTAGTTGTAAATACACTCTTAGACAAAAAAAAAAAAAAAAAAAAAAAAAAGGCGCACCGAGAAGATATAAAGCAAATTTGACACAAACTGATATGCATACAGGTTTCGACGGAAAATGCAAAATTTTACATTTTGGCAGCCAATGAATGAACGGTTGTCTCTACACCGCGTCTCATCTGCGCAACTGGCAGGATATTTAAGAAGAGAAATTACGATTCCAGGTCATAAATTATTCACGAATTTCATTCCATGTACTCTGGTAGACAGTAAGTATGCCTCGCATACAGGTGCGCGAACGATATGCGCAGATGTCAGAATTTGAGAGAGGTCTGTAGTTGGACTCAAAGAAGACGGTTGGTCTTATCGGCGAATAGCTCGACATTTGGAGCAGGACCGAAACCACTATTAGCACTATGTTGGCAGGAATGGGTGAACCATGGCCGCACACAGTGGCAAGAAGGAAGCGGCCGCCCTAGAGAAACGACATAACGTGAAAACCGAGCAATCGTCAGAGCGGCACTCACAGCCCCAGATGCATCATTATCATCGATTGTACGTGCAATTAGTGCTTCAGTGATCGCAAAGACCATTCCTAGATGGCTCACAGAAAGGGGTCTGAGGTCACGGCGCCCCTTTCTCCGACTACCATTGACCTCTGTAAAAATTCAAGCCCGTTTGCAGTGGTGTCGGGGTCATTCGCACTGGAATGTCACTGACTGGAGTAGAATAGTCTTCAGTGATGAGTCCCGCTTTGAACTGAGCCCCGATGACCAGCGAAGGCGAATCTGGAGACGCTCCGGACAGCGGTGGGATACCAACCTGACTGTCTTCCAGCAGACAGGCCGACAACCAGGAGTGATGGTCTGGGGTCCCATTTCATTTCACATTAGGACCCCTTTGGTTGTCATCCGTCGCAACCTTACAGCACAGCGGTACGTCGACGAAGTTCTAAGGCTCGTTGTGTTGCGCTTCATGTCACGCCATCCTGGGCTTACATTTCAGCAAGATAATGCCCACTCCCACACTGCACATGTTTCTATTGCTTGTCTTAGTGCTTACCGAACATTACCTTGGCCAGCAAGGTCGCCGGTTCTCTCTCCTATTGAGGACGTTTGGAGCATTATGGGCAGGGCCCTCCAACCAGCTCGGGATGTTGACGATCTAACGCGCCAGTTGGACAGAATTTGGCACGATATCTTTCAGGAGGACATCTGCAACTTCTATCAATCGATGCCAAGCTGAATAACTGCTTGCATAAGGACCATAGGTGGACAAACGCGTTACTGACCTTTTTCACTTTGTGAAGCTCTATCACTTCAATAAATCATGCAATTTTTCTCAAACTGTAATCATTTGTTTTTCTGTACATGTACATCACTTCTACCGATTTTCGTCCCATTCAGGTAACTCCTTCTTGGTGGGTCATTATTATTTTTTTTGTTGAAGAGTTTATTTTACATAGTTTACTGAACTTCTATGAAACTGCAATGCTACTGACGTTATGTAATCATAAAGATACTCCGGAACTGATACAGACTTTGAGAGCCAATTTTCTGTACTCTCATCGGCTAAAGAGACCTCAAATGCAAAGTGCGTCGATTACCAACTCTTTTGCTCTCATCTTTAATGGTGACACTGTTGTGAAGAACCTACAACAGTGAGGCCCCAACGTGGGATTCATTGACTGAGCTGGTAGGAGCAAGATAATTTTGTGCTATACACTAAGGAATGCCGCGTGAAGCTAGGGTAGCTACAAGCTTTGTACAGCACCTGAATTTTAAGAAAAGGAAACCTAAAATTTAAAAACGAAGTATTGTAATCAAATTTTACCCTGCAAGAGTCAGAAGTTTTGTGTTTATTCTTTACAATGAGTATAATTTATTTTTATTAAATTCAAGTTAATAGACTGAGAGACCGTATAAAAATTGCATTTTGGAATTTTTATAGGGTTAATCTTTTAAATCTTTTTAAAACACATTTGTAACTGGGAGTGCATGTTGATGAAGGTTGGTTGAGAAAATAAGGCTGCAATAGAATTGTTATAGACACATGTGTTTCACATGAAATGTGAAACACATTTGTAACTGGGAGTGTATGTTGATGAAGGTCGGTTGAGAAAATAAGGCTGCGTTAGAATTTTTATAGATACATGAGTTTTGAGTCACAATCAGCTATGATAATACTATTATAATATCTACATGTATTTAGTTTGATTTAGCTTTACATACAAGAAGAATTAAAAATGAATACCGATATTCGTAAGAAGAAATGAGTATTAAGAATAAATCATATTAGCGATAATGAATCTCATAAATCTTTATTAAAATCTATTTCGAAGTCTCGGACTGTTCGCCATCAGCAGCCCGTATTTATCCTGTGACACATAATCATAATTGAGAGTAACGATGAATTTGGCAGCAAACTATCCCGAGAGGAGTAAAATTTAGTCATTAAAAAACTTTAAATAGTAAGAAATCTGATCTGAATATCTTATTTGAAAAATGAAATGATGCATGAAACCATGGTATTAAAATATTCCAAACATAAAATGCTAGAAATGCAGCATGTATGTACTTTTAAAACTACACATAAATGTGTTATGGAAATTTTATACTTATACTTTTATACAGAAGTGATATCAATGCAATCCATTAAAGATATTGTAATAAAGTTACTGAAATTACTGATTTTATTATTAATTTGTATTTTGAGGTTGAAATTTATAGATTTCATTTTACATAAATTGTTAGAACAGTTTGGAGTAAATGAAGCTTAAAAACAAGAAAAAGGAATATTCACCAATTCTATTCTTATGGTAAACGTGAACAATCTTTGTCGAAGATCCTTCTGCATATTCCATCCACCTACTAATGAATAAAATGCATCAAAACGAACAGAAAATTTACTTATTTCTAAAGATTTTTTTTCTTTAGTGATAACATTTGCTTACAGTTGTAATTAAATAAAAAAAGTATTCATTTCAAAGTTCGAAAGAAATGTATAAGGTTAATGTAAAAAACGTTCAACGTGTAATTTTCCATTTAAAATTTACAATCCAACGAAGAGGGATAACACATACCTTAACATAACAAGTAATGCATATATGTATGAATATACTAATTTCTCATCCATCACTTTTATTTTTGAACGAAGTGTTCTATAGCTATATAAGCAGGATCTAACAAACAAAATGCATTTATTTGTTGTAAAACTAATACATTTTCGATCTCTAGTATTCTAATTTGGAAAAGAAACAACAATAGAAAAGATTTTAAATAATAGATTTTTTTAGCCTTTTTAATTAGTATGAAAAGATTTGTAGTTTGCTTACAACGTTTACAAGCTTAATAAAAAATTCTCATAAAATCTATTTCTGTATTATTTTGACTCTATCTAGTAAGTTATCAGTTGGGATGCCAAAAATTTAACTCGGTAAAATGTTGACAGTACATTTTTAAACAAGTCGTTTTTCAGTTAAAATTGTGAAGGTTTTTCTGTTATTTCTTTTTCCTGTTGCAAAATGTATCTCATTATTATTTACCTATGGCTCCACATCGCACGGCTTTATCCTTCACAAACTTTGCTAGCAGCGAATCCTTTAATTCGCTTGCGAAAAATTTAGCTTTTTATCCGAGGAGAGTTTTCCTTCGTTTCGGTTTGAATGACTGTTACGTAATTGTTAGATTAATTAAATAAATCTAAGAAGTATACTTATCGACGACCAACGACTTACGTCACCCCCACAACATGTTAACCTCATATATTACTAGCTTTCATATCATTATAGTCAATAAAGTACTGTAGTAGTATTTAGTAGTAGTATTTAGTCAATAAAGTACTGTAAGTTTTACGTTCAGCCTGATAAAAGATTGTATTTCTTAATTAGAAAATTTCGTTATTTTGCAGTTACAGTCCTGTCCCGCTGGAGTCCAGTCCCAGCGGTGCCCATAATACTAGTCCTGTCCCGCTGGAGTATCTCGTCAGTCATTGAAATAGATTTCTGGAGAAATTTGCTAGCGTAAGGAAAATGACGTCATCTGATATTACTGTGTTTAGTCGAAGAAGAGAGGCTGAAAGCACGGATAACGCTATTAAAAGGCTTTGTAACTAATGATGAACCAAAAGTCGATACTACAGAGCTGGAATGTAAATTGGACAATGTTTAAATCGTTTAAAATAAATTTAAAGATCTTGAAGGGAATTTTATAGTGTTTGAAAGATAAATATTGTGAAGAATGCGGAACCGTCTATTTCGGAATGGAGCATGAGCTCGAAAAATTGAGGTAAGATTTAAGTATATTTTATACGAACTGGACACTAAGCCCTGTAACAACAATCGTATTTCTAATTCTGATAATAATGTTGCTACACCAAACGAAGTTCGTTTAAACTACCAGATATTTTCTTACCTAAATTCAATGGAAACTACCAAAACTAGTTTCTTTTAAAAACTCGTTATAAGTCAGAGCATTTAACCGATCATAAACGTGATATTATTTGCAGTCGGTTATTATTCGAAAGGCAAAGGATACTCAGCTGTAGAAAACAGTTGCAGTCAGATTTGAAAAAAAAAGAAGGTTAATATTCACATAACCGAACTATTATTCAATACATAAAATACATCACGAATCTCCAAAACCACTGCGAATCTTAACTGGCGGAATGCACAAGTACCAACGTACATTAATACTGATGGATACAGAACTTAACCAGTAAACGGAAATAATATTAATAAACGTAATATTAGAAAATTTAGATAAATAGTCAAGACGTTAATTTGAAAGTCTTTGACGTCTACAAATCAGCCTGACTGGAGATGTTCATAGGTTATTTAGAAGTATGATGTCAAAATCCATAGAAAAAGCGAGAATGTCGGTTATTTGTAACATTAAGTACATATTTTGTGTTTGTACATCTTTAAGTGTGTGCTTTGTAAAACTCTTCACCCATTGTATAAATTCTCGTTATTTTTAAAAATGAAACCTATGAAAATATCGATATTGTAAAAAAGCATTAACTGTGTTTAAACTATGTAAATTTTTCTCACACGCTCAATTCTTGAAATTCTAAATATGCCTGTAATTTCTGCAATGGCAATCATAATTAGTTTTCCATTGAAATCAGGATATTTGTATTCAGAATGAGCCATATTCTATTCTAAGAATCACATTCTGGGAATATTCACTTACTAGTCGACATCAAGAACCAGAATTCCTTTCAGTTAAATATTTAAAAGAAGTTACAAAAATCGCAGATTTTTTTAGACAAAAATAAAACTTGACAAATGCCATTGTTGGGCATGAAATCCGAAAAAATATTTGCTATAATAGAAGCCATTGTTTGTTTAGGCTCGATGCAACCAAGCAAACTTTATAACTTCGGATTTTGCAAATAATTTGCAGTTAAGGGGAACAATAAATATGGCTGTTCTTGGATTAGGTGGAAATATAATAAAAGTTGAATTTAAAATTGGGGCCTTTATTACCAATGTAAATTCTTTCTTTTCCATACAGAGTTTTTGGTTGTACCTAAAGTAAAAGACTTTGCTTGACCAATACTAGGGCCGGAAGTGTTGATCACTTTATTGTGATGTTGTAGGGTTTATATTTATTTTAACTAACATTTATTTTAAGTTTAAACTACCTTTCCTGTCAAGCCTTACTTTTCCCCTGGAACTGCCAATGCCAGAGTATGTAAATTTTAGTAGAACGCGCAAGGATTCAAATTATCAGCGGAAGTATTCTGAGTTAAATAGAAAGGAAACGAGTTCAAGGTGTGCTGTTCTTACTTCACGAGCGCGGAGGTAGTTAGCCAGAAATTGAACCCTGCGTTTCGGCCTGTGTGCTTGCCTGGAAGAATTGTTAATCGTTCAAGTGATCTTCAAGTTTGCTGAATTAGCAGCGGTATTGTAAAACGCGGTGAGGTTAGTTACTTTTAGAGAGCCTCGTAGTTAGAGTCTTGTCTTTAGTTTCTTTTCAGGTTATTATTTTTATTTGACCGCCGAGTTGGCGCAGTTTGTGAGCGTCAAGAGCACGCACTTGTAATTTATTACGTTGAATAAAAAGGGACTTAAACCCTTAACAAGACTCTGTCTTTTATCCAGTTTTCATAGTCACCTCTTGGTTGCGTGCAAGTTGGAGGCACGCAACGCTACAATGTTTTATTAGTCTGAAGGGGCTTTGTCGCTGAAGGACAATTGTTTTCGTTTTGCGATTTTGCGTTGATTCACTACAAACAGCGAATCACTTTTCAAACTGTTATCACAAAGTATTATCTAGTACTTTCTTTTTACAAGATTCAATTTTCGGATTTAATGCTAGTGGTGTAGTTGAAAGTGAAAGTTCAAGTCAATATTGCGGGCCAGTTTCTCAATCCGAAAGTTTAGACGCAAGTTTTTATATGTTTAATCGGAGAATCGGAGAAATGGCCAACGATCCTCCCTGAAGAGCAGAAGAACTAAACTTTTGTGAGCTTCACTATCATAAATACATAGGAGGGGTGAGAGTGGATGCTTTATAGTACACAACGTGTTCCAGACAAAATATATCATCAATTAAGTGATTCAAAAAACATAGGTAACAAAAATATTAATCAAATGATCAAAAAGCTACATAGAGACCTCAACACAAAAAACTTGAAACAGATTTATCTTTTTGCTCAAATCCCATGGCAAGTGCACAGGGAGAAAATGCTTCATCCATAGTTTTCTCTTCTCCTCACTATAAACTTTAACACTCTAAACAAACCTGAAGAGTTGTCAGCGAAACGCATCAGTCCTACTACTTCGGGCTTAATTCTGAACAATATTTTACTATCAGAAGAATTTAAGTAATATATTTTCGATTTAATTGTTCGTTTTCGAAGCATAGAAACTAGTTGTGGACATCAAAAAAGTATTTAGAACAGATTTCAAATGACTCATCACAAGGATACGTATCATGAAAAGAGCGCAAATGCGATACCCTTGTGTTTTCAGGCTGTGAACTAAACGTGCTCCATTTTTGCTATCAAAACATGAAGCAATTAGCTTTGGAAGAACAGCAGAAATGCTGTTTAGTTTCTGAAGCAGCTTTTTCTGATGTCTGTATGGACGACATAATGAGAGGAGCTTGTAGCACTGAGTCTGCTACTGAATTAAAGAATCAACTGATAAAGATGTTTGGAAGTTGGAATGACTTTACACAAATGGAACTCGAAATATCATTTGTATTAGACCTCTCAAAATCTAAAGCAAAGTTTTACTTTCATTCCAATGAATTGACCAAACCTTTGGGCATAAATTTGTAGCCGATATCAGGCATTTTGGCTTTTAAAGTTGCGTTGTAAGACAAATCCTCCTTTATGAAAAGAGATGTCCTTTCATTCATTGCCCGGCTGTATGATCTTATTAGTTTTAACAGGGCAGTCGCATGTAAAACAAAAATTATTCCTTCGAAAACTTTGGCCTCAAAAATTGAATTGGGAGGAGGGATTACTCGAAGCATTTGCCAAGGAGTGAACTCGTTTTGTTTCAGATCTAAAGGACAGGAAAAATCTTAAAATGGAACGGCATGTTTTTCATTCTACAAATGAAAAAATAGCAGTTGGAGGTTTCGGTGATGTTTCAACATCTGGCTATGGAGCAATAGCTTACCTAAAACGCAATCAAGACAGTCTTTGTTTAAAGTTACTGGCAAGCAAGTCTCGAGTAACTGCTCTGAAGTCTATATTGATGCCACGTTTTGAGCACTCAGTTTGCCATCTTCTTCCTAATCGTGTTAAAAGGGAGCTGATTTCCTTAAATTTAGACATTGAAAAGTAAAATTATAATTGATTCGACTACAGCATTGACATGACTAAATTCTCACCCACATCAACTCAAGGATTTGGAAAAGTGTATTGCGAAACTTCAGGCGTTTTCAGAGAACTTCGAGTAGCCACAAAATTGTTCTGAGAAGAAACCTGTGGATTTAGTTTTCCATGGAGTCGAGCCTAACCAACTTTCATCTTTAGATTTGTGGTAATTTTGATATCATTGTTATTCACAATAGCTATTAACTTTATGAAGTGGCAAAAACTATTAACTTTTTTAAGGTGCACTGAGATCTCCTTAAATTTCCCTTACTGTCACTTCCATTGCTGATTTCATTAACTATTTGCTTTAAGTAATAATTTTGTTAAACTAATTTATACTCTTAGTTTCGTTTTTAGATTTATTTCCAGCTTTCGACAATGGAAGAGGTCATCGGTCCTAGAGATAAATTCACGTATGCCAAACTATCCATTGTAAAGTCAGTAAAGATTGTAAAATGTAAAATGTGATGTGCACACCACATGAATTTCTTGTACGGAGCATTAAATTATACACACTTTTTTTCTGCATTTCACTTATTTCCTCGAATTTGATTAGAAATATATTTCTCATTCAATTAATTCTGATCTCAGTTCGCAGCAAGGCAAAAATACATGAAACCTCAAAATATCTTCATTAAAAATTGGAAAATATAGAAAAAAATAAAACTCTAAATACAGTTTAAACAAAAAAAAAAAAAAAGTTTTTACAATTTACTATGCAAAAACAAGCTAGCAGGTCAGTAGGCAACAAGGCAGACTTTTAGTTGCACAAAAATGAAAGTTTAATTTTGGTCCCACTCGGCACAAAGACACTGAAGGTGCAGAAACTGAATTATCTTTTCTACTAAGTTTCAAATATAAACAAATATGGCTGCTATGATAAACAAAAATTAGGTAGCCACACTTAACATGCACATTTCCTAAAGGCATAAAAATCTTATCCGGAAGATAAAAACAGCATAATTCAATCATTTTTAAAGCACAAGATGAGCAATTTTACCAGCATATAAGAATAAAAAAAAACTGAACTCGCTGAGCCAAGTAACAGAGTAGTATTTTATTACATTTTATATATATATGTAAGATATAATAAAATACTATGACTACGTTAAGAAATAATTGGCAACCTCAAAATTCATTATTCTAAATTTAATGTTCTTGCCCTAAGTTCATCTTTTCTTCCAAATTCGAGATCTTTTCAAGTTACATAACACTGCCTGCAAAGAGAACTAAAACCTAAAATTAACCAATTGTAGCTTAACTGTACATATGCACCTCCCTGGTATAAATATTTCTTCGCGAGCAATTACGTCATTCTTCTTCTTAACTTCGCTATGCTCAATTGCTGTTTACCTATAACCCGTATACATAAAAATTATTGTTACTAACTATATTCTAGAACTATCTTGTCTACAAAAAAGTGATGTGATGGGCATTATCAATCTATAAACTATGTTTCGAAACGACCCCGTCTAGAAGTTTTTTGTTTATACATCCATCTTTCTAACTACGTAGTAAAGCCGTACCAACGCCAATCGGTTGCAACCTTCTTCCTTCAAGCCAAAGTATAACACATACATGTAATAAAAACAAAGTCAGAAGTAATTGGAAGAGCAGTAGGAGAAGTTTTGAGGGCTTAGTAGTGTTGATCCATTATGACAAGGAAATTGGAGGCGAATGCAGATTACATCTTCAGTTTTATTTTCAGCTACACACAAGTCGTCACATTAAATGTGCCTGTTCCAAAAGGCTTACATTTTCGATAACTTTGTAGCAAAAAAGAAGAAACAGATAGACAGCAGTGTAGCTATACCAAATCGTGGAAAGCAAGCGCGTAATGTTCAGGATGAAATCTCAAGTCAGATTGAGTTAGTTTTGGTTCTCAAAGCATTCTGATTGGATGGTTAAGATTGCTGCAAAATTATTATTGGCCGTTAAGAGTTTTAGTTCCGTTTACATCACCAGAATTATGTAAGAGACATGACATAGATTTTTCTCGAAATGACGCAGTGCAGAGAGGGGTTACTATTTTTAGAATAGAGAAGGGAAATTTATGTTGCTAATTTAATCTTCTTTACTTTTCTTACATACATATATATAAATATATTTATATACTTTTGGTTCGGTTGATGGCAAACAAAAAGAGAAGTGCACAGCTACATGTTATAGCAACCTTATATATAAAATTTTAACTCTCTGAGGCTACTCGGTTTTTAGTTATGCGTACATACTTACTTATATACGTACAGACGCCACAAAAAAATCTCTTCTGAATCCATTTTAAATCGGTTTTATAATTCGTTTGGAGGGAAAAAAATTCTTAATTCTGTCCTTACGTACAGATGTCACACAAAAACATTGTTAAATTGCATTCGATAGCGGTCAAAATGGATATGTTCGTTGAAATACGATACCTGAAACAATACATCCTTTGCTTCGTACAAAAAAGTAAAAAGAAATTCATGTCGTTAAGATGCAGTTAAAATCTAAAGAATAGTGACATAAATAATTTCAATCACTTCCTTGACGAAGATGGAATACTTAGGGCTGGCGGCAATTTAAATAAATCATCTTTGTCATCAGATTAAAAAATCTTTTCTGTCCTGTGAACGAAAGCATCCAGTGCTGCTGCCCATGGATCATTAATTAACTATAACAACAATGCGACCATTTTCAAAACCAAAAATCTCCCAGAAACTTATGGTAACATTGCCGAAATGAAATGCCAAGAGAAATGCCGAGTCAATGCCGATTCTCCTGTTACATTATACGGAAAATTACAACCATTTCACATATAGTTTTAACAAAATTATTTAAATATATACTAAATTCGTAACAATATGCTATCTTACTTTTGTAATTAAGAGTTTTAGATACATCGTTTGGGAGTTTAGAAATCTAAGATTACATTTTTATTTTTACATAAAAAGTGGAACTAAAAAGTAGTTATTTGTGATTGAAATATAGCATACCTATTTCCTTTATGATTATTTTTAATCCTTTTTAAAGAGTTGTCAGTTAACCACTTGTGCACTTTCAACGTGTTGTAAAAATAGCTGTCGTTGGCAAACTTTAACTGTTAAAAGAATCAAGTTACACTGTTTTAATAAGTAATTTTTAGGCAAACTTTCATACAAATATTAGGATACTCACATCTCTGTATAGACCGAAGATCTTGTTCAGCAGATCTTTTGGATATCCAATATGTGCGCCTAAGGCTAGAGCCTACATGAAGACAGACAAAGATTTAAAATAAGTGATCCAAAAAAATATTCAAAAATATGCAACGGATAACTAATTTTTAAATGCACTTTATTTTATCCTATCAGAAATATGCAGAAATATAGACATAATATATATATACAAAATAAGTTATAAAATTAAATTTGTCAATTATAAAATATTTAGTTGAACTGTAAAACGGTTTATAAAAATATCCAATTGAATTATAATATGTCAAACAAAGAGATTTGGTGAATGTATAGAAAGAGAAGTATCATTTAACATTAAATTTTGCGACGCATAAAGAAGAAAATTAATGCTTCCTTAGTTTAGAATTCGACAATAATTTTTAGGTAAAATGGATTGATTTAATTCTCAAATAAAATACGTTTGCTGTTATGTAGTGTTCATGTTGACAACTATTGAGCGCTTTTTGTTAAACACTAGCACGTTAAAAACTTTTTTTTTAATTAATACCTTACAAATGAGTTACTTCAAAGTACTTTCTCGATATGAATTACGTTCGTTTTAAGAAGAAAGATTTTAGCATTATAGAAAGTGACAGAAGCTTCTTAATCGTACAAATCTAAGTTATGCTGCCCAACAGGGATGCGTAATGGCAAACCGCACATTGAGTTGATCAATGTTAACGAATTCCGCTTACTGCGCATGCTCAACGGTGTACCGTTGGCGTGGGAGGAAATACAGGAGACTAAGGGAGGGGCATAAGCAACCCTACAACAAGCCTGTTAGTCCTGTTGGTTTTACTGTTTTACAATTGGAATACCAAAAATATTTGTTTGTGCTTATTGCATGTGCTTCTGTTTCATTTCATTTTGGTTTATTTTGTTCATAAACATTACATTTAATATCGGTTAGTTGGAAATAGGGTCAGTTTGAATGCCTAGCAGGCATCAGACCACATACTTGAGCTGTTTTATATGTATGGATTGATTATTCCAATAGAGCCCACTTATTTGATTAATTCAGTTATTTAAACTGGATTTATTCTTTAATTTGCTAAAGCAAATACGAATGGAACGTATGGTAAATACACAATTGCTTTAATTCCTGCTTCGTAATCCTTCTTAAACCAAAATTTGCGTAGTTTACAGAAGCAACTTACAACCTGACAAGTTTTAAAACCCCGAAATGTTTACGCCCAGATAATACAATATCAGCCGCATACCGTATTTATCTTCTTTTAAAATTGAGCCACAGTTGTAATTGCGCCAACTTCTATCCTGGGCATGCGCAGTAAACGAAATTAGTTTAACATTGATCAACTCAATGTGCGGTTTGCCATTATGCAACAGGGAAAGTGGTGAGCGACTCTGACTGCCATACCGAAGGACCCGGGTCCGAATTTAGAAGGCACGGGTATTTGTAAATGAATAGTGTCTGTGCTGCATGGGAGCACTCTAAATATGTGGCGAGCCGAAAGTCCTCTCGAGAGGTTGATGGTATTGGAAGAGCGGTGAGACATCCAGAGTCCCCGCCCGGGTGCTCTCAGTCAAAATTGGGGACGGAACTGAGCAAAGTCGTACAGTCACCCGTATAGTGCCCAATGTTCAATTGTTGTTGACAAAGGCAATTTCGCACTCCATGCCAGGATGAATTTTGTAGGCTTGTTCCGATGCTGCTGTCAGACAAGTGGGATAAGTCACAACAACAACAAATATAGGTTATATTTCCGGAAGCTGTTCTTGCAACGAAGGCCTTATCAAAGGAACGCGGTGCGTTCCGACTGAGAAGTGTTGAAAGAAATTGATCCCGTATTACAAAACCGAGCCCGAATATAGTCACACGTCATCAATACATTAAACGTGGATCTAATTTTATTTCACTTTTACATTTCAATAATGCTCAAAATAGAAACTGCTTTAGCGTGTTAATAGTGGCGGAGAGAAAAGTAGCAAGAACATAAATACATATATTGAAATCTGTTAACGCAGCAACAAACTCAGAAGGGTGACAACGCGCATCAAGAGGAATAATAATTGCCATGAAACTTGATATCGCAAACCACCTTTAGTCGCCCTCTAATGGGCCACCTTCAGATAGAAAATGATCAGCAGAGTATTCCGTAATTAAGCTATAGCCTACGTTATTGCTATTCTTAAATATGGCACCATAAAATAACATCTAAAATCAACTGAAACTTATAAATAGTAGCTAGAGCTTGGAAAAGCTATTGAACAAGGAAACAAAATGTTACATCTATAGCAATAATTAATTATGAAACATACATAGTTGTATGACTGTAAAAGCGAGGATTAGCGATGTATTAAAATGACAACTGAAATATTGATGCTGCAGGTATTAAACTAAAACTTAGTTGCCTGAAAAGATACGTACATCAAGTATAACAGTGTATAGAATGAAAGATAAGATGCGTATTGAATGCTGAAAAGAATGTCAGATTTGTTCAATAGAAAACAAAATTCATAGGAAGTCATACAAAGGAACTATAATTCATATATCTCATTTAACCCTTTCCGGCACGCTACCTTTTAAAGTTGGAGTTTTGATTAAAAAAAATGGTAGGCAGTCTAATTAGGCCTAGAGGAGTACACAAGTATAATTTTGTGGAGATAGCACTTATCGTTAATTCTGTGGTTTAATTAATTAATTCAGTGTGCCGAGAGTGGGCACACTGATTGAATAGAGCTTCGAAAAGAGTGCTGAAACGAGCATTGTTGTCAATGAACTGACCGATGAGATACGAAGAAACAAAGAATACATACTCTCAGTTGTCCTAGATTATCGATGAGCCCGGTCTGGGCACACCTAGGGTTCGCCGTTTTATTTTAGGCAAGATTTCAAGGTAAAAATTTAAAACTAATATAGAATAAGGAGATTAGCATACAGCCAAAAAATAACATAGACATTTATTTTCAAACAATTCCTTTTATACCCTAAAAAAAAACCCCGGAAGATTTCTCTGAAAAATGAAGGTCTTAAAAAAAATAAACATGGCTAAAATATATGGACTGGATTGTGTAGAGCTGCCATCTACTATAAATAAAGAAGGTTCAGAGTAACCTATAGTAACTTATAAATCCTTTTCATTCAATTTTTCTGTGCGTACAGAAGGAAAATTTTAGGTGTGTCCAGACAGGACACACTGTGCCGCAAAGGGTTAATAGATATGTTACATTGGTTTTTGCTGAGGAGCGGAGTTCTTCTAATGTATGGAAACGCTATCCAGAGCAAAATATTCCTTAAAAACCAGTCAATGTTATGTTCCCTTCCTATATAAAGCCAGTTATTTATTACACTGTGAGATTATTATTTAATATTAAATAAAGATTATAAACATAGCAGGTTTAGAAATTAATAAAGGAATTTTATCAGCTCTATTTTTGAGTATTATATTGTCAACTTTCAATGTATTTTCCTTCTTTTTTTCTATAAAAATCCTTTATCTTAAAGGCCTACCAGTAGTCGAACGGTAAAAGTCGCTGAATGCTGGTAGTTCTTACCTGAGTTCGATTCTAGTGGCTGCATAGAGGTTTTCGCGATTTTCCCCATGTGTAACATGTATACGAGACAATTTCTCTTTGAAAGTAATAATATGCTTTCTCTGGTAATAATAGGCTCGGGTAGCTTTATAAACTCAGATATTATGCTTTAGAATTTATGGACATCATCCAGTCAGTCACACAACGTTGAATGAAAAATCTCTGAATTGAACGTTGTATATTGTGCAACTGTTTGCGCTGTAATGAAACTGTTCTTTGATTGTATAATATTTACTATCGTAAATAAATAAATGAAAAGGGAAAAAACAAACCTTATCTCTGGCAAATTCTTTAGATACTGAGTCTCTCCAGTGATTGCCTATGAGGGTATCTGGGAAAATGCTTTTTATACGTTGAAAAGTGTCATTTGCCTGAAAGAATAAGAAAAGCTTACTTCTACATACAAAATACACAAGAGACACACTTCATATTGATGGTTCTATGCATATTATGTATATCTCTCGGGTTTATAAACCAAAGTAAAAACTAAAATTAATATCCAAATTCCTCCAAAAAGCATTTCAAGTTTTTACTGACAGTATACATATTGCTTGCTTGCCTAAGAAATACTTGTCCATAGGGCAATAAATAGATATGATTTTCCGCATTCGATAAAGATTATTGCTACATTTTTGACATATCATTAACGCAAATAACTTCTTAGAGTTATCATACTTGCTGGTCATTTTTCTTGTATGCATTCTTTCAGGTTACAGCCGAAAACATCGCGGCATAAACATCGCGGACGAAAACGTCGCGGAGAAAACAAAGCACGACGAAAACGTCGTGCTACAAAACATCGTGGGAGAAAACATCGCAAAGAGAAAACATCGCAGTCCTAGAACATCGTGGTACAAAACATCGTCGTCGAAAATAAAGCGGTTCCAAAACTTCGCAGTTTAAAAACATTGTCGTCGAAAATATCGTGGTAAAAAATAAAGTATCTACAAATCATCGCATGACGATAACATCGCAGACATGCTTTTTTCATACATGCTTTTCGCAAACATGTGTTAATAACTGTAAATGGATATTCCCATAATAATTTGTGAGCGCAAAATGGAAAGAAGTATAAATTTTACTTTCACATTTTTTTATTAACTAATAAATTTTTTCTGAAAAAGTAACAAGGAAACTTAAGCATAGCAAATTAATGCAACTTATAGCAATTAATAGAATTTTAAACCGACATAGTTAACTAACAAAGGCCATTAATAAATCATTTTTATAGTGTTTTTACTGGTAATTTTTCCTGAAAAGATAATCTATAAGTTGCATTTAATTTTCTATGCTTAAGTTTTCTTCTTACTTTTTCAGAAAAAATTTATTAGTTAATAAAAATTGTGAAAGTAAAAATTATCCTTCTTTACATTTTGCGCTCACAAATCTTTATGGGAATATTCATTTACAGTTATTAAAGCATGTATGGGAAAAGCATGTCTGCGATGTTATCGTCATGCGATGATTTGTAGATACTTTATTTTTTACCACGATATTTTCGACGACGGTGTTTTTAAACTGCGAAGTTTTTGAACCGCTTTATTTTTGACGACGATGTTTTGTACCACGATGTTTTAGAACTGCGATGTTTTCTCTTTGCGATGTTTTCTCCCACGATGTTTTTTAGCACGATGTTTTCGCCTTGCGTTGTTTTCTCCTCGACGTTTTCGTCCGCGATGTTTTTGCCGCGATGTTATCGGCGGACACCATTCTTTCACATGCATTTGTTCATCTGTAATAGGATATTAATTATTTTGCGATACTACTGGTAAAATATAATATTGTGTACGGCTACGTAATACATTGAATGCGCACAGGTCCGATGATAAGTTAATAAGAATTTATTTTATCAAAATAAACACTTGAGAGTTCTGAAATTTTCCTCTGAAGTACTCGTACAGGAGCTCAGAGTATCCCAGAGTACAATCAGTAGTTACGCCCCAAACTACTAATAACGTTAAACGTAATGCAATGCAAAGAGCATCTAAAGAGAAAGCTAACTCTGATATCTCAGTTCACGCGGAACTAAACAACTGGCAATAATAATAACTAAGCAACTCTTAGCAGATGCTCTCTCTTCTGTCTTAAATAGTTTTTCAACAGCTGCCGAGATATATTTCTAGTACTTTCTGCTTTTCAAAATTACTGGAGAGCAATATGAGGGTACAATCACTGTTACAGCTAACAAAGTGGTCAATTTTAACATTTATTCAATTTCAATACATATTACGGTGATACAGACCAAAGGTAGCCAAGTTTGGCGATTTTTGGTAATTTTTCTCGCTAACTTTTGAGACAAAGTCGCCAAAACCGTTGTTAGCTTGGCGATATCTCGCCAAATTACCGAGATACTCATTTATTCAACGTTAAATGCACTTGCCCTTGTATTCTTACCTTTCCGGCACAGCTTCTCCTTAGATTTTTCATGTTACAAAAGAAATACAACAATTTGACTTATAATTATTCTAGAATTATTCATCTAAGTACAAAATTCTTAACAATATGATGACTACTATAGAAAAACGCAAATAATTATGATTTTTACACGTATGTTCTTGAATTTTAATTCTTGTAGCTTGAAGCTTGTACATTTTTTTTCGAGAACTGAGGGTTAATATTTCCAGTAATTTTCTATTAAGTCCAACAAAGAATAATTACACTTTTGATAACAATTGTAAGGAAATTGTTTCTTTTTCTTTTTTTTTAAATAGAATTCCAGGATATGCGAGCAAACATGAAAAATAAAACCTATAGCAAATGAAAAGTACACAAAAGTTTTCACAAATAAGTATTCAACACACAATTTCATTTTAAAACGATTTAAACTTTAAGAGGTCAGAAATTACTAAAGAAAGCAAAAGTTTATCGAAAGGATATTTTACGTCACATTTAACTATCTAGAGACTTCTGTAGATGTTTCAGTTTAATTGAAAATCGTATATTTTGGAGTATGTGAACCCAGGTCTGGACTAATAAAATCAAATTTACTGTTTATTATGAAGTGTTCAAATCTTATATCTTTTAAATTCTCCATATCACATGCACGCCAACAAAAGTTCCAAAAATTAATATGTCAGTTAAAAAATAGTCTAAAATGCTAAAAATTAATATAGAATAAAATAAGTATGCCGAGTTAAGGAATTTACAAAATATACAATGAAAACTTAAATTTACGTAGAAACGTACTAAATAAATAAATAAATAAACACAATATATGACAGGTAACAATTATGTAATTAAAATATAAACAAATAAGGGCAAATATAGAGCAGTTAAAAATTAACAGAAAAGTAAAAATTCAGTAATGCAAAAATGCGGTTTTCACAGAATGGTATTAAGTAAAAATTAGTGAGATCTTTGTAAATAATAGGAATTTCAGATTTAATAATTACGTTGTTGGCTTATATCACTAATAAATGCAGCTTTCAGCGCGTTATTTAGTTACAGCACATTCGTAACTTACTTTTCAATTTGTATCTTCAATTATACATGTAGAGGAAAATTAGATTTCACCGGTATTTTTCACTAAAGCAATTTCTTTAGAAATAGCTTTAGTGAAAAAGCAATTTCTTTCAAAATTGCTTTTATTTCCCAATCGCCAAATGCTGGGGGTGAAGAATCATCATCCACCACTCTTTTAATCCGGGCGCCCCTGTAGAGACATTAGGTATTTTTTAAAACAGGAGATATGAAAAATGAGCAACGCCTTCGCCAGGACTCGAACCACGGACCTCTCGAATACGCGTGGGGCGTGCTGACCACTACTCTACGAAGGCATGCTAAGAAGGCAAGAAAATACCTTATAAGCTGACAACGTTCATTTTCCTCGATGCCTCCAAACAGGGATACCTCTATTATGGCGCTGTGCTCAGAACAGGGCTTCTGAAATGAAAAAGGGCGCCACTCCTGTTCTGGTGTATTCGCTCCTAGCACCATTGTAAGCGACTCTGTCTTTGTTGCAGCTTCGTAGGAAGCTGTGCTGGCAGACCGCACAGTTGCAGACGTCGTCGCTCTGCTCGTGACGTATTTGCCAATTTCCTGACTCAGGTTACATGACGTGGTTGTACATTGTACAATTCTGCAAGGCCGAGAAAATAATATGACTGTCTTCTCTTGCGTTAGTTGCCCGAGGACATCGAAATCGTTCATGGCGCTCAGTATGACTTCCGGGGGCCTATCGATTCCATATTTTGCTGAAAGTCAACAAGAGCACCAATGCCGTGGAATAATAAACTGCACTTCCGATAGACCACTATCTTGTGATCAAATCTTTATTATACGAAGCATTACACAATCTGTATACAAAGAAGCAGCGCTCAAATGAGATTTCAAAATAAGGCACTCGCTGTAAAATCTTCTCATTTATGCACAATGTAGATAGCATTATTCATACCTACTTTGTATGAATGCTCTGGAATGCTTATCACTTACATATCTTATCATGTAATATCTTTAATGCAAATTTGACATTTGTTGTGCATCAGCTTCATAGTGCAACAATTTTAATGGCCTGTTTTAATGAAGACTATACTACTTTGAGATCTAGCATTTTTTCCAAAATTGATAACACTGCATCTGTAAAGCTCCAAAAACTTTATTCTGAAATTAAAACAAAAACTATCAAATGTTTCTAATGTATCCAAGCCCAAAATCGAACAAATCCCAAAATCGAACAAAGAATCCTAAATATTATATCTCGCAAATACCATTCCTGGGAACAGAAAGTTGCAGTGGTTTACCTGTCAAGATGATCTAAAAACAAATCAAATGTTAGAGACGTTTTCTTCCGATGCAGCCTGATTCATGACATCAGTAGTCATATCGCTGATCCATTGTTAATAATATTGCTCAATTGTGGTATAAGGTATTTCTCCCACTTTCTTACCGTGCCTTCGTGCCTGGCCTTTGAGTGTATTCGAAGCTGAAATTTCCTCTCTAGAACTCACGATTCCAAATGAATGTTATAGTACGAATAAGAAAACAATTTCTTTTCTAGGTTAAACTCTGCGAATATTACATCCCCCTCCTCACGTATTTGTTCAAGATAAAATGGCTTTCTCTTTCTTCTGGAAATTTATCTCTTACATGTCATTTGTGAATTTGTAAGTTTATTTTAGTATTTTGTGCTGTGCTGTTCTATTTAATTGTTTTTTACTAACCTCTGTAAGCCTTGTGTAATACTATGTGGTGCACAAGAATTTAAAATTTTCAATTAAAAACAAAGCCATTTCTTCCAAACACTGATCGATCCACCAGCGGCTAAGTCGCAGAATCGCTGAACATTTATAGTTGTATCTGGTTTCAGTTCCAGAGAATGGAAGGCATGAAAGCTTTCGTAGTTTTCCCATGTGTTATATGAATATGAGTCTATTCCTCGACGAAGGGATCTCTTTCCTTAGGTAGATAGCCTTCGACAGCATTGTTACTGTTTAAATAATCCAATCCAAAAACTGATCGACGTTCACACTATACGAAAATTCGAAGCCTAATATTGTCCCGCATTGTGCCAGACATGAAGACAACATTCTGAGAACTTCTCACTGCCACATGTCAGGAAAACCTCCGCTTGCTTAAATGTTAGAAGTGTCTTTAACGCATGAACTTCTCACAACGTTTGGTCAGCGGTTGAACTGTACTGTAAAATGATTCTAATGATCTCTGTACATTTAAATGAAGAAAATGCTTTTATCTCTGCTAGCCAAACTACAAACTATGCTTTTCCCAACTACATGAATAGCTGAAATTCGAAGTTTACTTGCCTAAGCATGTAATTCGGTCCTATTTCGATTAGAATGAAAATAAATTATATTTTGTTTACGAAGGTACCTTAATATCGTTTTTTTATTTTCATTGAATTAACATTAAATGAGAAATATTTTTATTTTCAACAAACATAAAGTACTCTAGCTCATTATTTAACTAAAATGGCAGACGTTTTTTAATGGATGTAAAATGATAATTAAATAAAATTAAAATGCAATATATCTTGTTAAATTTCTACCTTTTTAATTTTCAATAAATTTATGATATTAATGATATAATATCCAAATCATACATCTATTATGACAATCTTCCTTTATTTTATGTATTATTAATGGTGCAGAAAGAGAATCCGGATTTCCAGAGTTTCGTACGTCAGGAATATATGACGTTCTACATCATTTGTAAAACGTCATGTACTGCTGACGTACAGAGAAAAAAGGGATTTAATACTTACGGCATTAAAGATAGCGGTTTTAAAATATTGCTGCACGTAATAAGAATTAAGAGGAATTCTAAAATTATCCATAATGGAAGAGACACATTGTTTCCATCGCAGTTCATTTTTTGAATCGTAAGTTTTTCTCATTGAGCCGTAAACTAAATTCTTCCATTCGTTCGACAGTAACGGTAAGGATTCCAGAACAACTCTCCATATCATATAATTAGCCACTATTCTGAAAAGAGAAGCAAAAATTATCAGATTATTGAAACTAATGTGTTCTAATTTTACTTTCTAGTATGTTTTTCATTCACTAACTTGAATATTCTTCTGAACAGTTTTGTGAGAAACATTAAGAAATAAAATATACTGAATGTCTTAGTATTAGGATTACAAGCTTTTACGAGGGATAAAATACACTCTGATGGCTTGGAATCAATCATATAGCAGTATAAGGGCATATTAAAATGTATATGCGTCTGTGTGGACATAAAATACCAGAAACAAAAGGATAACACGGATGGGAATTTATATTGCGATAATAAATGTACATTAAGAAAAGTAAAAGGAAAGAAAGTGTCTTACACGAACTGTAATACAGGCTTTACACTTTCACGAGTTTCAGAATATTACTCAAAATTTCGAGCAAGTCAATAACTATACCATTAGATACTGCAATGCGCTCAACTAGTGCAGCTCAATCCAATGCCTTCCGCTCAATAGAGGTGTCACGTATTTATGCTTTCATATGTGCCAGAAGAGGTAATTAAGGCATGTTAAGTCCAGCGATCGATCGAGATAGTACACTGGACCACCATTCCCGATCAACTATCGATAAAATGTAGCATCTAATTGATTACGCGTTCTATGGTTAAAATCGGCGATGGTCCCATTGTGCTGGAACCACAAAATTTCGCATCGATGCAAAAAGCTCTTCGTTATCCAGAAATGTAGTAACAGGTGTTTCAGAAATATGAAGTAGTTGCTACCGTTGAGACCAAAAGGCAATTAACAGGTAAAATCCAATGAGGTGGTTCTTCAAAATGCTGGCTGAAACATCCACCGCAGACAACTCGGTGTTGCACAATTTGATGTCGCATGGAGGATCGATACATGGCTATTATTGAATTCATGACGTGTTCCCTTATTAAACACGATTCATCGATGAGCAACAGAGAAGCAGAGGAAAGGGGATCTATAGCACTCTATACTCGAATGTTCGAATTTGAAATGACCTGTATAGGGCATAATTATTCTTAGTGTTGGATTTTGTGTTGATCTTTCCCGCCTTATATCAGCTCCCTGGAAGGAGCTGTTTGAGTTAGCCTGCGTTGTAGACGTACAAAGGAATTATGGCTGGGAGTACATCTTATCAGGAAGCGTGCCTTGTGCAATCACTTCTGCTGCTCGCCCATTATACTCCGTAGTTCCATATACTGGCTATATTTTTGCTGATTCGTGTAATCCCCAATTTCCCTAATTTTGCATCTGTAGGTGAAATAAAATTTGTATGCATGTGAATGAGAACGCTCGAACCAACTCCACCGAGAAGCATTTCTAACGAATTAAATTTAGATATTCACATTTATTATAAATGCAATAAATGCAAAGTATCGTTTAAAATTTAAAATATTGCTTTGAAACCCTCGTTTAAAATTAATTTCAAGCAACAGCCTTTTTTGCATTCTAAAAAAAAAATGGGGTTGTTCAAATGAATTATTTGTTAAGATGATCTACAATCTTATTTTTACCGAAATCGGTTTTATGAAAACTTTATGTTTAATTTAAAGTGAAATTTCCCTTACCTCTTATCTGTTTGATTAATCAATGTGATCAACTTCTTGATATAATTTATGTCACCAATAAACAAGCTTTCATCCCTGGTTATTTTAACTTTCAGCAATTCACTAAAATATCTAATCCACATAACCTACAAAAAATAAGATATAAGAGATAAGTGCTTGATATTATTACTTGCACAAAAAGATATATTACAAGCAACACGACATAAGAAATGAAATATTTGATATTAAATCTCGGCAATATGATTTTGATTCAATAAGTATAGGATTGGCAAGGAAGTAATTTTGGTTTGCACAAATAAGATATCGTTATGTTCATTTTGCTCTTCTTTTGCCAGTCTTATTTATATATATTGTTACGTTTTTCTTTTCTTACTTCTGATTATTCTGACACCAGTTGTTATGTTATTTTCTTCCTTCGCGTTCGTACGGGGTTCATGTGAATTTGGAGTGAATAATGACGACACTACTTGATTGATGAAGTATCGAAACACACTTTATTAGCCAGTACTTATGAGGACAGCTCCAAAATCACGTTACAGTCGTCGAAGAACTACTGTAAACATGCTGACACAATCAGCGACACAGCCTTAAGGTTATCAGGCTATCACGGTGAAGACAGCTTCCTGCAAAGCAGCCGACTCTGCTTTCCGGAGTACAGCTCCCGACTCTGCTTGGTCGTTCTCGGAACTCCACGTACTCTCGAGATTCTCCACTCTACAACTCGCGATGCACTCGACGACACACACAGCACAACTCCTGACTCTCAATTGAGTCGTTTCCGGAGCTCACCACGCTCTTTCGACGATGCACTAACCGCGATACACTAAGAGACTCCTTCGGTGCACTCGACGACCCACTCGGCACTCGCTGCCCGGCTGTCAACTCGATCGACTCCGCACTGCTCGCTAGACGAGGCGTACTCTTCCTCTCGATGAAGCACACACTGACTGCGGACAAGCAGGGTTTATATAGTTTTCGGCTTGTGTTCGGGAACATTCTGGACTAAACCGGTAAGAATTCGTTCCAGAAGGTTCTCCAACCGTCCATGGTATATCGCCAATTTTGTCGCCAAATGGGCGATTTCTCGCCAAATGTGGCAACCCTGCCCTCCCTTGCCATTTTATGGCAACCCTAAAACTGCTTTGCGGGGAAGCCATCTTACCGCGCCTGTACATTTCGTAACAATATATATATTGAGATTTGGCAGATAACACTTTTTCGTGCTATAGAAACCAATTCCGTATATTTTTGTTTAGAACTGTTAATTTACGGACAATTTTAACATAGGGTATAAAAATGAATTCTTTCCATATATTTTACTTCTTTATTTTCATAAAGGCTTGAGAGCGGTTGATACTTACAAATATTTACGTTAAGTTTATGGTGTTGTATACTTAAAACAGAACGCAAATGTCAGAATTGGTTTAAAATCTTTAATTCTGGAGATGTTTCACTTGAACGTTCTGGCCGATTTTTCTGAGTTGATGATAGCAAAATTAAAGCCATAATTGAACTGAACTGTCATATAACTGTGCGAAAACTTGCAAAAAGTTTAAATGTATCACACGCAATAATTGAAAATCACATAGAATGTTTTGGACTCTTTTAAGAAGTTCGATATTTGCGTTCCGCATGAATTGAAAGGAATTCACTTAACACAATGAATTAATATTTCAAACGTAACGTAATCGGCCCATGTCTGAAGCGAATATCACTGGTGATGAAAAATGGATCGTCTAACAATAGCACTAATCGAAAACTGTCGTGGTGCGAGCGCGATTCGCACTTCAGACTTAAAATAAGAGCTTAAGAATATAAGAACTTAAAACACACAGTACATTCAAAATGAGAAAAGAAAATAATGGAAGTTAAAAACTTACTAAATTATGTGATTCAAATCTTATTTATTGCATTAACTTAAGCTATTATGACACTTTGAATTGCACAAGAGGCCCTTGCTTTTACAACTGCATTTATTTGTGGAACACTTCTTTTGCAATGACAGTGTGTACATACACTCCTCTCTTTTCGACCTACACCAGAACATATTTGTGATTGTCGACATACACCGGTGAGGGTCCGAATGTAAAGAATGTAATACAATATTCGATCTTTCACCGACGTGTTTGGTGACTGCTGACATTCTCCGGTGAAAGTCAACATTCTCGAATTTCGGTCTTTCACGGGAACATATATACACCAAAAAAACTGGAAGATCCATGACTCAAATAGAACAAAAAAGTGTAGTTTTTCTATGTCGCATATTGGTTCCAAAAAATTTATTGGTCTCTATAGTGGCACTCAAGTTAAAATGCGGTAGATGAAAGTTTGTCACTGTCTTGACTGGGCTGGGTCACCTCTCTCAAGTCACCTGGGTCATTCTGTCTCTAGTCACCTTTTAAGTGAAAAAGACTTTAGGGAATTGTAAACTTCCCCTGTGCATGTTCCTGTGGTTTAACGATTAGTAAGTCTGTTTGGCAACCAGAAGGTTCGTAGGCCAAATTCCGGTGAGAACTGATTTTCCATATTTCTCCCCTAGCAGTTCTATAACTTTGCAATGGCGTTCGATTAAAGCGTGGCGGATGTTAAATCATCACCAACTGGATTTGGTCAACTTCATCTCGTTACCATCTTCCCTAGTTTCCTTTAAATGGAGGAGAATATAAGAAATTATCGCATTTTTACAGAGCATATTTTCATAGTGTAATTGTTAGCACATCCAGCCAGCAGTCGGAGGATTTGTGTTCAAATCATGGTTACGGGTTTGCTCATTTTTCACGATTCTCTCTCCAAAAAAAAACATTCTAACAGCTCTACAACTATTTCCTGAACTATGAAGCACCTAGCAATGAAAACAGATCCTCTTACCTTGCTAGCCGCTGACTTTTTCCCCATTCGGCTAAAAGAATTCTTACGGAATTTTAATAGGTAATTTTAAACGAAATATTAAATATCGTAAACAAGTCAAAGGGGAATAATTTAACTTACTATTTGCATAGTAAGTAAAATTATTCCCCTTTGACTAATGCTAAATAATTAAAATGGACTCTGAATGCGAAAAAAAATGTATGAGCACATGTGAAATTCAGTAAAACAATTTAATTTAGGTGCCAAGTTTCTTATACTGTTAAAACGAAACCATGCTCAGTCAAAATGAAACAAAATTGTAATAAACACAGTAAATGTAATCCTAAATTACGTATTTTAATATTCGTGGTAAATTCAAATATTCTTGATTAAAAAAAAAGAAATGTGTACCAAAATTTCTAAGAATACTTCTTGGAAATTCGTTTACAGGAAAGGAAAGAATACATTATTAAGGAAAAATATGTACCTATACAAGATTAGTAAACATTCTTTCCAGCATTAGTTTTCATTATTCGTTACTTTGCAGATAAATTATTTGAAATTTTAATATTGCTTCATATTCTTCATAAGAAGTCTCGACAGGCTTTGCAAAAGTTTTAAAAATTATTTTGTCAAATCTAAAATCTGCAAACATATGTCTAAATTAAAATTTAGGTATCATTTACAGTGACGGATTACCAATATATTGAAATACACTGTAAATAGACTTGAAGTTTTTATCTCGCTATTGCAGAAATAGTTATAAAAATACAAAACGAAATATTCAGAGAGGAGTTGTAAAGTATAATACATTTTTCCTTCCTGTAAATGAATCCAAATTTACGTTAATTTCTTATTGTCCATTTTCCTCTTAATTTATTCCGTTTTCATCTCTCATTTGTATAAAATCATATTATCAAGATGATTGACATAAACAGAATTTATTTCGCGAAAGAATTTGGTCTAGACATATATATATTAAACTTTCATAGGTCATACGCCAGAGAATATTAAAAGTTGTACCCGAATAACATAATTGTTTCTAACCATCGGATTGATGAATGGCTTTAATATCTGACATGAATGAAATTTTTTAACTTCAAGTGAATTTAAAATATATGTATTAGTTTGACTAAACTAAGTCACAGATCTCCGAGAAAACAAATACGTAATTTTACTGTATTCGGTGACATTTTTTTCGGAAAACGAGCTGGTAACGTATAAATGTATTTCTCTAGAAAACGTGCAGATAGAAGAACCTTCTTAAAGGCAGAAAAAACCATTTGCATAGAATGGTTTTAGCAGTTCGCTTAAGATATATGCCATTTTGAATTCCTTTTTTGAATAGACCTCATGAATTATCTAAGTGATATTCTATATGTCTGCAGATCAACAGGCTTAAAATCGATCGATTTTTTTTTCTTTCATATATTTTTCTCTTTTACATGCGGATTTATTTGGCTACTGTGAGCATTACACTCCAAACGAACGTACTGCACGTATTGCATTAGCCGTCGATAAAAGTTGGCAGATTCCAGTATTTTTCAACATATAAGATAACATATAACTCAAGGATGCGATACCACTAGCCCTAATGTCAATTGTTGGCACTCGCACTGATGTCAACGGCTCGCATGATTAAAACATACGTCATGCTGAACATATCACGTGGAAGCATAAGTATCTACATAATAGTCTTAGCATGTTTGGACAGGTGTAGGATCTTGAGAAACAATTCGTGAATATGGCTGTGCTCTTGCAACTATATACTAAATTAGAAAAGTGAAAAGTTATGGAATTTTTATGCACCAAATGAATTAAAGCTACACATCGCCTGATAAGAGTTTTATCAGATATATATATTTCTGAATTGTACATAAAAGCATGAATGGCTCGAGCAGATGAAAAACCAACGTCGAGACGCGAATTTATGAGATCACGCCTATCAAAATCGTGAGGACCCAGGACTAATTAAATAAAAAATAATAAACGTCCTATGTTCTAAGATGAGTGGCTCACACTGTTTGAAGTGAGAGCCCCTCAACTTCCTGTATTCACTATTTCCAGGGTAAATATTGCGGAAGATTCTCCTTACCGAAGTCTTTTACACCATTCATGTCGAACTGAAACTCTGAAAAATTTGTGAAATGTAAGTACTCAAATGATTGACTCCTGACATTAAAGATCAGTGCATCCCAAGAGCTTATGCGTTGGCATGAAGCTGATAATGGTGCATTACTTTAGTGTAGCTTCAATAGTATTTAAAGCTGGTTTACATTTCTGAGTGCAATGAGGCTTTCGTTAGCACAGTCTGACACGTTAGCAGAGTTAGATGGCTGAGTACTCGTCGATGATATTGTGTACAATCTACTGCTTTTAGATCGATAGTTATTTTTTAGATGGAGCCACTAAACCATTATTTTTAAATAGGAGAATAAACATAAATAATGAAGAATACATTGTAAAGATTATCTTAATTTATCTAACAGTTAAATGAGTTAAAGTTGCTTTCTTATCTCTTCTTAATTTCAAGCTTACAACTTCCGGCCAGAACATATTTGTAGAATCGCTTTTGAATGCAAATGAGGAGATGTATTTAACTGTGAAGTTCTACTGCCTTTGACAGAGCCAGTGATTCTGACTAGCACTCGTTAGCCTTTTCAAACTGCTCTCTCTCTCTCTTAAGCTATTATTACGCTCAACCGTACTTTAGGCCCTCGATAGCTTCGACGTTAATTAGGGTTAAGGGACCAACTCTGTTAGAAAGCTTCGGCTATATCTTTTTAAGATTATAGTTAAGATTAGTTTAGTTATTAGTTTCTTGAGTTCGACCCCGAGTGGAGGCTTTATTGTAACTCCCAGAAAGGAATCGTCTGTTAAAACTTTATTGGAATAATAAAGGGTAATTTCACCGTTCTTACGTTTTGTTCTCTGTCTGACGAACTCGAGCGATTATTCGCTTACCAGTTCTTAAGATTCCTCAACTTTAGGTACAGATTAAAACACTTAGGAATCTTACAACATAAATGAAAATGATTCCATTAATTATTGCATTAAATCATTAAATTTTTAGTTCCATTCAATTTAAATTGCATCATATTTCAGTAACAGGAGCTTCATAAAGTAAAAAAAAATTCAATAGCTTTCATATTCGAACGCAGAATAAAATAGTGGGGAAAACATGTCTGAAACAACAACCAATTTTAGTTGAGTCATCTAACATTTTTTCTACAATTCATCCACGGGTCAGTATTTATTAATCTTTCAATTAAAAATTGGTTTTCCGTGGCGTTTTACACGTGGATATTATAAAGTTAATTTCTTCCTATAACTTTTCCGTATACAGTATAAAATCCGAAATCCGGAATCGTTGGGAATTCGGCAATTCGGTATTCCGAATAGTAATGTAGCATTTATGTCCATAAAATTAAATTAAAGAAAAATTTTGTGTGTTTTTTTTATGAAATTATTGCTTTTAATATTAGTTGTTTAAGTTGTGTGTTTCTTTATTTTTTCGGTAATATGTTTTGAGCAGATATAATTTCTTGTTCAATAAGAGATTTCCATTGTTCAAGTGTATACGAGCCAGTTTCCCTTAGAAAGTCCTCTACGAAGGCATCCCTCCCCTTAGGCAGATAGCCCTAGTGTGCTTTGCCATAATTAAATACACACACACACCATAGTTCAAGTCCTGAAACTACCATGTGCTGTATTCTCACTGTAGAAAAATAAACTAAAATCATACCAATTACAATGGCTTTTTATAAATGATTCAAACGCGATTCTAAAAATACGTTCTGGCCGGAAGTTGTAAGCTTGAATTTAAGAAAAGAACTTTAACTCAAAATTTAACTGTTAGATAAATTAAGATAATCCTTACAATGTATTCTTCATTATTTATGTTTATTTTCATATTTAGAAATAATGATTTAGTGGCTCCATCTAAAAAATAACTATCGATCTAAAAGCAGTAGATTGCATACAATATCATCGACGGGTACTCAGCCGCTTGTTGTGCTAACGAATGCTTCAGTGTTAATCGAAATTTTTTCATTCTCAGCAACCTCTTTGTCACTTTCTTCCTAATCGGCAGCTACATTTTCTCGATTTTAACCATAATGCATGTTATAGGATCTGTTAGTTGACTCACGTTGAAGCATTCTCATAGCAATGCAGAACTTTTGTTTTATCATATTCATTTATTATTACTTCTCCGCATTTTTCTTCACAGATTTGCGTTTGTTGGAAAAGTAGTAAACATACTACTTTGCAGTCGACGTTGTCGGCAATATCGCCAAACAAGTCCAATTTATTGCCAATAATAGATAAGCGTGACATCACAACACATTCATAAGAGCTGGAGCTTGTATAAGTGAACGGCAAAGGCTTTCTTTCCGTCAGTTTTAAGCTTATAAGCAACAGAATCATGCTAATTTTTTTGCATGCTTTACAAATTAAATAAGCAGCTTCAAACTTTGCTAAATAGTATTCAAACATGGTACATACACATAGGCGGGACTTAGGCGTAGCAGAAGTTTATAACTTAACAACTTTTTTCGAAATACAAAAGAGTGCAAATTTAGTTTTTTGTAAAAATTCAAACTGCATTTTTAAAAAATTAAAAATAATATTTTATGCTAAAGTAACATTATATGACAGATTTGTAAGTTCTATTAACATAAGCCAGGATTGTGGTTAATAAGAAAGACACTGCAATGGGTAGACGATAGCCAATGGAAGTGATGAGGAATCCTTTAGCTTTAGCTTAAAATTGCCAGAATGCATCATCTTCCTTAGAGAAGCCGCACTAAGCATTTTCACAAAACAGCAAAGAAGTCAAGATGAAGAAAAAGTATAAAAATTTCTATTATTTCGGGAGCTTACCACACATCGAAATCAGGCAAGAAAACAATAGGAAAGGTCTAGATGCCCTACTGGCAAAGCAAATATGAATCAGTGCTTAACCAGGAGGTCAGAACTCTAATTAGGAGCCCGATACAAGTGACTCATGCACATAAGTCTCATGCATCGCATCCCTCTTATTATTAAATGGGAGCTTATCTTATGCAAACCCTGATCTTCAATAAACCAAGCTACGTTTTCTAAGGAAACTGTATATTAACTGCTTTTTATCCTCTATTGTCTAGCCTTGGTTAGATGAGACAAAAAAATGCTAATTCTGAGAACCGTTTAAAGACGAAGGTTTAGTGGTAACCAGTGTTAACCAGAGTTAATTAACCAGTGTATAGTCATTGGCCAGGATGTGATTCCTAGCTTGACAGTGTCATGCAAGAATCTTAATTAACTGAAAAAAACCGCTTTTTAAGGTACACCTGGTTTTTCTTGACAGACATTACTAGACTTAACAAGTAAAACAAATTTTCGAAATAGTAAGCTAGCATCATTCTAAATTTTTACAGCATTAAGCAGAAAATCCATAATATGCAAAAGTAGAATACGCATGAATTACAAACAAGATTTAACTTTAAATTCGAATAAGATATTAAAATAAGCAATATCTATAATAATAATGATACTTTATGGTTTTATGTAGAATATAGAATTAATTGCAGTCTTGAAGTTAAAGATTTTTATCTATAACTTCACGCTTCGTGGAAGAAATCATTTAAGTGCACATAAGTAAAACTAAGAAAGCACTTTTTATACAAATTTAAATCATCTACAAAGTTTAAAAAATAAAAATCAAAAATATTTTTTTAAATGTGGCATAAAAGACATTTGCGTCAGTTTTATGTTGATTATCACAATAATCATTTAAAAAAGCCACTGCAATTGGTATAATTTTAGTTTATTTTTTCACAAAAATTTCCGTTTGAAACTCAAAATAATTTTAGTTTATTTTTTCACAAAAATTTCCGCTTGAAACTTAAAATAATTTTTAGAAAGTAGTTCATCTTTTGGCATGCTTAGCTATAATGAACATTGATATAGTACATTATTTTGACTATGATTCTACTTTAGATAGTTACAGAATAATAAATACCTTGGGCACTTCTTGCTTGAGTTGCTCAACGGTATAGAGATTCCATAGGTAATATTCCTCAAGCGGCACAGAGAACTGTGGAAAAAATAAACATATTAATCAGTTCTAAAAAATAGACATCATTTCATTTAAATAATTACTAAATATGAGTAGGCAATACAAAAAAGCATCAACTAAGTTTTAACATAGATATATTTAATAAAAGCAAACCCATGAACTCTGATGAAAAAAATTTGCTATATATCGTAAGAATGTCAATCTCACGATTACTGAATTTCAAATTCTATTCATATTAACGTTTTCAAATGCTTCTTCCTCCCCCCCCAAAAAAAAAGAACTTTCAGTTTTTGTACTTTTTTTTTTACTTATTCTGAATACAGATAAAGTCATACGCATCTGTTGAAGCTGCATTAAATATACACTACAATCAGATAAAGTTTTTATTGTGATTCTCTAAAGTCATTATGCTTAACACATCACTAGATTATTCTAAATACCTACTTTCAGGTAAAATCATACGTATCTGTTGAAGCTGCATGAAATATACACTGTACAATCAGATAAAGTTATTAATGGAGTCTCTTAAGTCATTATACTTAACGCATCACTAGATTTTGCTTTAGCATTTTATTTCGCTTAATCAAAAATAATTAGATTTCCTGACTGTGAGGAATAATCCCACACATCAGTGCAGTGTCTTCATCAGATTATGTCCCACATTCTATTAAACATCAAAGTGAGCTTCAAATATAATTCCTTTGCTGCTACTCAATAATATTCTTACTACTTTTCATAGACTGGTTTCTTGCTTTCGAAACATATGTAACCAGCTCTGCTTTCGGAGACCTTTTTGAGCCTTTTCAGCATTTTCGAGTAGTGTACAAAATTATCTAACACGTATTTAAGCAGAAATCGTAGATTTCTCAGAAACTGTGAAGTATAATTTTATTTTTATGATGCATGACATCATAACAATAAATACAAGAGGAAAAATTTAAGAGCACTGCATATGATTAAGACTGTAGCATGAAACAATTTAAATGGTAATAATATGTTATGAAGAGAGTTCAGAAAAAAAAAGGTATAACTCAGAAAAATTAAGGATTGTAAATTTAATATAAAATGCGATCTCCTCCTAATCGGTACACATATATGACAACACATATATGACAACGTTAGCCACAGTTTGAGTAATTAAGTTCCACTCTTCCAGAAATTTCATCTTAAGGGCATTTAACTTCTTAGGAGGATGATGCCTCCTCCTAAAGTTCCTAAAGTCTCTTACAATGCTGGCAATAACATTGGCTATAGTCTCTTACTTGTTGGAAATAACTTTGTTAATCACACTTTGAGTAATTAAGTTCCCCTCTCCAGAAATTTCATCTTAAATGCATTTAACTTCTTAGGAGCATGATGCCTCCTCCTAAAGTCCTTCACAACTTCTTGTCTAAGCTAGCTCATAAGTTCTCCATGGAGGTAACATCAGCAGATTTTGCTAAATACAGTATTCGCTTAGTGTCTTCACTGTCAAGGAACTCATCAACAAGATTAGTTCGATATGGACTAACATTATCGTCTATAAATAAGAAGATCCGCATGGCACGTTCGAAAAATCTTACGTAAGGTTCTAAGACCTCACCCAGATATCTGCGGATGGTCACAGATCCGCTGTTGAAAACGTATAGGAACTCACCACCAATGGCTACTGTCACTCCCCACCCAAACCATCCATTGGATGTAGGAAGTAAGAAGAAGCGGCCGTAACCGGTTTTCCTCAATACGCTGCTTTGAAGCACTGGCAATCCCTTCATGGAGACCAAAACTTTGGGTGATTTACCATTACGTTCAGTGGGTTTTGACACGATCGGATGTAAATATTTTGTAATTACGTCGTAAATGCACATATTTCCTTTTTCTACAATATTTCAGAGTCCTAAGTATATGAAAAGAATACATATTTAAGCAACATTTCATTCTGAACGCAATTAAATGCTATACTTTTCACAGAGCGATTTGTTCAGAACGGTTTAATTTGAATGAAATATTTTCACAAGTTTTTACTAATTACATTAGAAAAAAAATTTAAAGTAATTCGATTTTATTCGGTTAAGGATTAAAAATATTAAGATCAAAGATTTTTTAAAAAAAATATTTAAAACTTGTAACTGAGTTATTACAAAATTTAAGGGACTATAAACTGAGTTATTACAAAATATAAGGGACTATAATATTCTTTTAATTATACTTATCAGATTTCTTACCCTTAATTAAAAGACTTGCTTGGAAAACATTTAAGAATCTGGAATCAATAAGAGGACCATTCATGATCGGACCTCCTTTGGCAGGATACACAAATGTTTTCACCTCCATCGATTACCTTATGTTCAAATTCTTAATAAGCTGCCTTGATGATGTGGCACGTTCACATCATCATGGTACTTCCGCCGAATTCGTCTTCCGTTTTTCCGTTTTACACATTTGTGTAAAACTATACATAATTTTACACAAATGTGTGGTTACAAATCAAGGAAAAGTTAACTTATTGGCATATCTGTGTGTATATTTGTTAATTTTGACAAAGATTGCAGCATTTGGTGGTAATTTTATTTTTTAATTAACCCAAATGAGTAAAAAGTGTAAACGCAAAGTGATTATTTTGCAGTTATATAAAAATAAAATGATGAGTTAAAATGAGAAACTATAAAGCCTCTCCTCTAAAATTTTTAAAAAGTACATTTAACAATAATATGTGGACGACAAAAAAATATTTTGCTTAAAACATTTTGGCGGTTGGAACATAAAATAAAAGTAGCAAATATTCTATCAAGGGTATCGAAAGACGTATACAATTTTAAAGGTACCGTAAGGTATTTTTCATGCTTTAAGCATAACATTAGCGCTAAAATCTATATTTTTGTTGTTCAACAGCTTAGAATTTTATAAACCAAATTCATAATCAAAATCGCTGTTGTTAGTTATGGAAAAATAACCAAGAAGTGATTGTGTAAATGTCACTAAACTATACCAATTGCTATTATCCATCACACAATGAATGTTTCTTTTATGCGGAAATGTCCCGTTTTTCCATTTGTATAAAACTGTCGTGTGTCGAAATACTACTATCGAAGCGCTGTCAAGGGAGCTTCTGAATGTAAAAAAAAAACACCCCATTTGGAGACCGAATCTTCAAGGCAGTGCTTCACTCTTAGTGCCGGGCTTGCCCTTTCTCCCTTTCTTACCTCCATGATGCCATCAGACCTGCATTAGCGAGACCATCATTTTCCATAATGTTCGAAGGAAGATTTTTTGGTCTTGACTCTCTCCAGATGTAAACATGTTTAGAACCAGATGTTAAACTAAATCTCGACTCATCAGTAAGGAGAACATAGGACCATTGTTGTTCATTCCAGTTCTGATGTTTCTTTGAACCAATTAAATTGATTTCCCTTTTGTTGTGAAGACAGTGAATCACATGCCCTTGGTTTTGTGGCATACAGACCTTTTTCATTTAGTCTTCTGTGTACAGTTTGCTTTGCCACAACAGCTCCAGTTGCGACTGCGATTGTTGAATTTAACTGCCGAGCAGCAGAATTCCTGGTAAGAAAGGGCAGTCATTGCCAGATAGCGATCTTCAGAAGTAGTTTTTATTCCTTTACAACATTGTTCAGGTCTTCTTACACTAGTTCTAGTGTTCTGCAATTGCTTCCAAACCGTAGAGACCGTCTTGAAATTGTCTCACACCTCACCGCTTCCATTATTGTACGGGCATCTTAAATGGCCTATGATTCATTACATCACAGATTCTTCCAAATGATACTTCCGAGCCATAACAAACCGATTTGAGCCCTTACATTCTGGATCAAACATTACATTACAGAAATTCCCAGCCCCAGATCTTCACTTTGCGGAAAACGCTTGATTCGCCGTCATATCGCGTTAATTTACATATCAGAAAACGTTTGATTATTCTTCACAATTCACTCACTTTACATTTTCCTTCATACAAATGTTGATATTTAAATTAATTATGGTACATAGATAATGTTATGTTTCGGTTTAAAACAAAGATGGATTGAAAATGAATATAGCGCTTGCAAATGGCTTTTTCAATAATAATTGCACAGAATGTAAAAATATTTCAAAGTTTTGTTTACATACTACTTTATAAATGTTCTATGTGACTCCCTTTGGTAACACGGACAACATCTAAGCAGTGCTGCGTTTCACGTCATACTTTCTGAAGCATATCTGTAATCACCAGCTGAATTAGTTTAAAGAGGCCGAAAATGAAACAGTACGTAATTCCATCCCCTGCGATGTTATGTGATGTCTGCGATGTCTGTGGGGTTATGTGAAAGACCTTGTGTATGTGCTCCCTTTGCCAAAAATCCTTCCAGAACTCAAAATGCGCATTTATAATGCGCTTGCGTTGTTGACTCCGGATATGCTTCAGAATGTATGGCGTTAAATGGACTACCGCTTAGATGTTGGCCGTGTGACCAGGGGAGTCACATAGAACATTTATGTAAAGAAAGATTTTTGAACCTGTTTTACACCTCTTTTGAACCTGTGCAATTCTGATCGATAAATTCTTTCCAATTTAATAGTTATAGACGTTTGTAATCACTATAATCATTTGAATCCACACTGGAGAGCTAAGAGAATTCTGGGGAAGGAAGTTATGGATACTCTGTAACTACAAAATCTTAATAAGAATTAAGCAAACAGAAAAACCCGGGAATCGTTGCCTTAGATTGAACAGCTGTATAATATGTTTTTTCTCGTTTCATGATTAAATGAAGGTTTACAAATGTGTGCATACATATATCGCATTATATTAGTAACAACTGTAAACCTTCTGCAGCCTGACCCCCAAAATAAAGGCGTAGCTCTCAAAAGCAAATCTAGAAGTGATGGTAGTCGTATTTTGAGTGTTAAAATTCATTGTTAAATCTTTAACAATAAATTTAAATTCAATTAAAAATGAATTTAACAATGAATTTAAATTCATTGTTAAAATTCATTGTTAATTATTTAACAACAATTTAACATTCCATTGTTAAATATTTATAAACACTGTAACATCCTGCATGAAAAAAAAGTCAGAATGAAAGAAATGGTTTCAAACCAAATAATTAAAAAAAAAATCTGAAATTTTTCAGATTTTAAATTACGTCCAAAGGGGCGTTTTTTTAACGTTTTGAGTGTTACCTTTATTTATTAAATATCATGTTCTTTGCACTTAAACCATAAAATTCAGTTCAAGAGCAATATCGCAAAATAATGTTAAATTAAACATATCTTTAGAATTCCGATATACACAGTCTCGCGAGCTGGAGATAAAAGTATTTTTTTTTATATATAACGTTGCCATTTCTCGCTTTTAAAGCATTGAGTTTGTAAATCAAAAATTCGTTAAAGTTTTACAAAATATAAAATCTATAATAAAACAAATTCCATATTTGGGATTTCAGATGCCCATATTCGCAGTAGGATTTCGTCATTCAAAATTCGATGGCTCTATGTACCATTGTTTTATCACAATGCGAGAAATAGACAATCATTTATGCAGATTTTTCGTTATTTAATTTCTTCAAATATAATGCAGGACTCTAACATTTTGTGGGAACAGTTTGAAAAGTGAACCGACGTTTATGAGTCCGACGCAAAATGCCAAAACGAAAGCAATAGTCCTTCGGAACTGAAATCCCTTTGGACTAATAACATATTATAAATAGATAAAGAGAAAGAGAAATAGTTTCATAAAAACAAATAGTTTAAGAATAAAATGAGAAATCTATACTTACTTCTGCGAGCTTCGTCTCGAAATTGACAAGTTCAGTTATACTTTCCGAAACGGCGGAACTGAAAACAAAAATAGGCATGCGAGAGGAACTCAACATATAAGCCGCTCTCTCTATTATTTTCTTGTAATGATAATTTTCTTTATTTATCAAATAGTCTCGCTCTATTCCTAATGTCGGATGGTCCAACTTAAAAAAGAAAACAAAGTTAGTTTAGATGATCTAGAAAAGAGTAGAAACTTTTAGTAGCACTGTTTTTCATTGGGAAAAAGGTATTAACTTTATATTGAAGGAAACACAAGTTTGCAAAAGAGCTGGTGTTTTACAACTGAAATAAGAATTCCGTTTAACCAGAGAAGCTAAAATACTGCACATGTACTTATACTGCACCAATTCCTGTTCCTAATCTTTGGCTTCTATACCACGTAGTTCATTTTGGCGTGTCTTGTTGTAGCATTTCTAACATTTTCTGAACGTGAATGTTTTCAGACATGATAACTTTTTGTTCTTTTTTCATTTTCGTAGAGAAAAATATTATTTTCTCTACGAAAGGTTTTCAGACATTATTAGTTAACAAGTTTGCATCATTTTGTTTAATTTTGTGAGCTACACCAAAGCATTTTAACATTGGTAGAAACCCCTTGTTAAAAATACAATTTTAAAAAAGTCCGCAGCGGTAGCGGTACTTGGATCCACTTCTCAAAGAAGCAAAGTTAAGTAAATTGTATTTAAAAGTATTAGGGAACATATTTATGACTTCAACAACTATATGACTTAAACAACATACATTTATGGCTTCAACAACTTTAACATAATTGTATGTCATTTTTTAATTATAAGTTAAATTAATAATTTCATATTCATTTAAAAATTTTAATTGAAAGAACTGGTTTCTGAATGCTTACATAAACTGTAAAAGGAAATCACAATTGTATTATTTACTTACAATTCTATTATACTTGAATTTAATTTGAAGCAAAAAATTTAGAGAACATTCCAGAAAGAAGGGAGATTTCGAAATAATTCTTTCTTTTTTGAACTTGTAGAAATTGATTCTTAGGCATTGAATATGGAAACTTCATGAAATAGATGCAATTTCCTTTTTAGGAAAAAGAATAATTTCCCTGGGCCTGGAAAAGTGGCTCTGACTGAGCGCGTTATTGTATTAGAAAAGAACGAGAAGACAGCGACAAATAAATCCCCTAGTCCGGTTGCCAGACAGAGAAGAGAAGAGACAGAGAAGAAGAAGAGGTGGTGGGTGAACATTAAGTGTCAAGTAATAGCGAATAGAGGAATTGAAAAGTTAGGGGTAATGACCAAAAATACCCCGATTTCTACGAGCGAAAGAGAGGACGAAGAAAGCCAAAAAGAGTTGTTGAACCCTTTTTTTTTTTTTTTTTTTTTTTTTTTTGAAGCCACTGTTTAGCTGAGTGAAATACAACAGTCTGTCTATCATCATAAGAAAAGCTCTCGCCAGTTAGTCTGCAGTTGTCTGTTGCCATAGAAACGAGTCTTAACCCATTTTCCATAGGGGTGTCTTGAAGATTTACTTTTCACTTTGCCATCTTGGCCCATTTAAAGATGAATTGGCAAACCTTGGTTCACCCCCCATTTGAAATGTACTAGCCCTGTTGCTAAGGCCCCACCCGCCAGTCACTGTGGTGGGCGCTGTTCTTCTCGTATACAGACAGTATATACTCAGCTAAACAGCAAAGGACGAACTGGCCAAAGGAAGCGGCAACTTAAGAGGTTATCACACTTGGTTACAATCCCTGCTGGACGGGACTTTTCTAAGAAACGAGGTTCTGGTAGCACTGGTTTAAACGAGAGGGTTCCTAGAAAAAAAAAGCCCTGCCTGAAGCAAAGTACCGCCTAGCTACGGAAACGATGTTGCGGTTAGGTGGGATTTTTCCCAACCTCACTGAAAATGTCTCGGCTGGACCTCTGTCCCAAGTAAAGACAAGCAGTCAGACAAAAGTTCTGATTCTGGAGCATCACGTGATCCCAATCTGAGCGATAATCGATTAGTGTTTGGCGTTCAAGTCTTTGTAGTAAGGGAAAATGATAAACTAGCTAGTGGGTTTCCAGTTTACTCCGCCGCTGGTGGACTACGATAAAGACAGTAAAACATCAATCTACAGGAATTTCCTTAGTTATTCTCAAGAAGGAAATAAATTATGCCTATTGATATTCTCTTTTTATTCAATAACTATAAAATGTTTAGAAACATATATATAACCTGTTTTCGGCTCGAAAATGTTTTAAGATAAAATATATTTAAAGGTTGGTTGACAAGACAGTCGAAAGTTATGATAAATTCGTGGTAAGCAAAAATTGAATTATGAAAAGGGTAGACGTTAACAAAATTTTAAACTGGAGAAAAGGCACTTGACGCTAATCATTAAGTACCCACCACCATACTATGAAGTTGTAAAGTTTTATCTCAAGTTCGAGGATACATGTATAACTGAGAAATTAGGTGTATCAGTAGTTTTCTGAGAGAAAATGATTGTGAATGAGCCACAAATAGGAATCAAGACAATCCTGTTTTATGAAAAAGAATGTATGATGGTGCTGAAAAACATGATAGATAGTTGCCCTAAGGAAAATTAGCACTTTTCTGCGTGATAATTGTAATTACAGACTTTTTTCATCCGCGACTGTATAGCAGGGATGGCCAAATTTCATGTCAGTAAGAACCATAATTTGGATTTCAGGAATTTGGATGTCAGTAAGACCCATTATTTGGATTTTCGATTCAAGTTAAAAAGCCTCAGCTAAATTTTCCAGAATCCACAAGTCCATATATACAACACATTAAAAGTAGTGAATCAGGTTTCAAATAGAAGGAAGCTTCTAAGGACTTTATATAGTAATGATATATTAGTTCATTTTGATTATTAGTGTATGAATGGTTCTGCATTTGATGCACTATGCTAAGAAAACATTTGTTTTAGCAGTATATTTTGTAGTGTCCTTATAAACTTTTTCTGTTAAAATGTTTGTAAAATCATTTTGTGAAAGTTTTCTGCAAACTGAAGCCTTAACTCATGTGATTCATTTCTTACTTTATATCAATTTATTTGTGATTAATGGAACCACTTATTTGCTCAATGTCTTTGGAATACACGTTATACTACCGAGGAAACAAATAGTTATATAAAAAATTGTTGAAAACATAAGTAATTTTGCTTTGTACAATGTAAATCATTTTTGTAATTTAAAGCATTCAAATATGCTTCATATATAGTTTTATGAACGGTTTTTATCCGATTTCTAGTTTATACTCAATATTACTGAATCCTTTTTATCAAAAACTGATTCAAATTTTCTTAGCGCTAGTTAGCCCCAACCAAATGTTTCAGCAACAGCTATTGCTAAGTTGTACAAGTAATATATAAAGCCATGTATACTCACTCTTATGATGTAAACCGATCTGTTACTTGGGTGCAGTATCACACTCAAGTTCATAAACATATTATGACTGAAACCCATTTTGCGCAGTTTAATGAGAGTTTCCATCCAGTCAAAGGACGCGTTATCCCAGTTTTCTCCTTCAATCATTGGCCAGCCACCAAGTTCATTCACAACCTCCTTCAGAGGTCCCTTTCCTGCGTTGTGGATACTTTCTGATCCCAGAAAAAAGTACTATGTGAGTTCAGACATTGGGTGGATAAGGGATAATAAAAATATAATAATACGGAAGTTCAATTTGAAATCGTCATATTACGGTTTACCATCTCAAAGGATTTGCCATTAATTATTTACAAATTCTTAAAAACCTAGAAGCAGTCAAATATTTCAAAACGTAAAAAAGTGGTTATGCACCATTTTTGTAACGTACTGCATTCGAAACCTTTTTTTGTTAATAGCAACAAACCTCTAAAATGTTCATAGAAGTTTTCAGTTGTATGAGTGCAAATTAAATGTATTTTAAATTAAATTGATTGTATTTATATACTATCAAAAAAATAGCTGTTTTATTCATAGAATGCATTTTTTTTATTTTACATTGCTAATTCTGCTAATCAGAAACAGACTGAAGTAGCACATGTCCAAAGCATGTATTTTTTCCTTGGATAAAAAAATATTTAAAATTTGTTTTTGGTTTTAGTTTTTTTTAATATTTTTAGTGTTACATGATATTTTTCAATATTTGGAGTGTAAAAAAAAAGCTTAAAATTACAGTGTTTTTTATACCTATTTCAATCGTTTTTGTATTTTTTATTATTGTTATATAAACTAAAAATTATTAAAATTAAACTAAAACTAAACTAAATTTATATAACTAAGATTTACTATCAAATTTTGATAATGTCTCAAAATGTTGTAAAAAGGACGAAATAAGCAACATAATCTCCCATAATACATGAAACGCGATACATTCGACATAATTTTGATTTTAATGTAATTAAATTCAAGGTGCTACTTTGGTAGACGGTTGCACGGATTTTGGCGATTGTTTGGCGAGTTTTCCTTTGGCGAGTAATACAACTTATGGTAAACCCATTGCTAGATAAGTTATTTATGGTAACCGATACTTTGTTGTCATTTTATTAAAAAAATAATGCGTTTTATTATGCATAACTTCCGTGTTTTAAATATTATTTATGGCTTCTAAATATTAAAACTCAATTTAATTTTACATTTTTATTTGAAATAAAAATTTTGTTGTTTATAATATTTTATATATTTTATGCTGTTGATGATGTAATCAATGACGTCACCTTACTTAAAAGTAATTGGTTTTATTAATATCTATAAAATTTAATCTAATGTTTTAAACATTATTTATGGCTGTTAAATATTAAAATACAATTTAATTTTGCATTTGTTTTAAAAATGATTTTATTATGAATGATTATTTAAATAATTTTAATTCTATGCGTGATGTAATTAGCTCCCTGATTGGTTACTGAATATTTGTGCATTACCGCGCCATTTTAAAATTTTATTATTCATCTCTTCGAATTCGTCAGATTTCAAATGAATCGAAATTCAGAATATCTTCGTTTCGAAGATGAATGTTGTTATTGGTAATTACCAAGAATTATTGGTATTGGAATAAAAAAATTGCCCTTTGAGACCTTATTTTGGCCAACCTGTCTTTCCTAATCAAAGATTTATTTATAAATTGTTAATAGGTCAGAGGAAATTTATTTTAAATTTTTGAAGGAAACCTCAGCTAATTGCTTCTTCAATGAAGTGCCAGAAATGTAGATCACAGATGAAGATTGCTTAAAAGAGCCATGATTCAATTATGATTCCGGTTTTTTATGTGGTACTTATCAATAAACAACAGGTAAAATCGACTTAAAAAAATGTAAGTACATATTTTTCTTTTATTCTATATAATTGTATACTTCAATTTTGTTTTAAAAAATTAATACACTATTTTCAAAAATTGCTGAGATAATTATTGTCACATATGTTTTAATGTTGAATTATATTCTATATAACGTATTTTAATGTATTTGAAAGTTTAAGGTGGGCTAATATTAAATCTCCCTTTTAATTCTTTTAAATGTTGGTATGATGGTTTTTAATTCGATATTCAATTTCAGTAATATTTTAATCCAATTAAACGTTGGCGCAATGTTTTTATAGCGGTGTTTTTATTCTTTTTTTGTCGATATATGAAGTAATAATTTAAAGCCTTACTTTAGTATTTTATACTCATAGTAAATGTATTTATTTACATTTGCCTGCCATCTTAAAAACAACATTTTCAACAAAAAATTAATCCATTACTATTTAACGATATTTTTTATTTTTTTTTTATTTCGAATACTTTACTATGCGTAGAAACAGCGTTTTTCAAGATGGCTGATAATTGTAAAAATCGCGCCAACAATTGCGCCAACGTAAATCGTCAAAAATCCGTGCAACCGTCTACCAAAGTAAAACCAAATTCAACATTATGGAGGATTGTCAGATGTTCTATAGTATGGTATACATGCTGCTGGCTAAGCAAATCTTACAAATAAATGAAGAGCATTAACCTTCGCCAAAGGCAACAGTCTGAACAACAGCAGAGTGCGGAGTTTCATAATCAATAACAGACTGATTAAATATGAAATACAAATCAAAGATTTTATGCTTTGCCGAAGGAGAGATTTCCGAGAATTCGTGATCCACAAAAACGTGTAGAAGATAAGTTAAAGATCTTATATTTCGAGCAACAGCAATACTTGCCAAAGAAATATTGTGGAAAGATTTCGTTTTTTTATTAATTTTACTAGCTACGAGTTCCATTAGATATTTCTCTAATGGTACTAACTGATATTAATATCATAATCATATACAGATTCTGCGCTACCTAAGTGAAGGATATCACAGCATTTCTTTCTATTCAAAGATCCAGTTGGAAGCCGGTTTTCCATTATGAGGAATGAGCATAATGTAAAAGAGACTTTTACTAACGTTTATTACATAAGAAGGATTTTAAACAACTGCAAAGTTATTGGATTGACAGAAAAGCGAAGAATCAATAATACACATAATTTCTTATAAAGTGTTTTTGACTGGTTACAAAAACCCCTCTCCAGATATGCAGTAAAATGATGCCTGGAATTTGTTTATTCGAAACCGGTAATAAATTTCATAAAATACCATTTTTGGGAAATAAAGTGGTACATGATTGCTATGACTAATATAGAGACTCTGCTGTTTTCAGCTATAGTGTAGTACATGCAGTTAATTTAAATTTCAAACTTAATTTTAAAATTTAAAACTAAAATTAAAATTATTTTAAGTTAATTTAAATTTTATTATTATTTTTATTTACATTTTTTTTTTGCAAATCTAAGAGGGCCACAAGTGCAGGCTTCGAGGGCCATTTGCGAGGACAGCAATTTGGCATAAAGGATTAAAATGTAAATCAACAAGATCTTAATTTATCAGAAACTTTTGTTTTCACATCTTAAAAGTGATTTTCATTTAATATTCACTGTAAGCTAGTGATTTACAATTTAGTTATACCGCAGATGTTTCAAATTTAGATGAGAAAGACGTGCATCACTAAATAAGCAATTCAATTCATAAAAAAAATCATGTATAGTTTTGATACATATTTAATTTGAAGAAGCTGATGAATTGCTGTAAAAGCATCAAAACGTCAATGTTGATTTTTTGCATCATAATTTACATATATATAGGTAAGGAAAAATAAATTCGAGAAAGAAATTACCAGTATCCATGCAGGAGTCATAGAATTCTTTTAATACACGAATGTGAGAGATGTTACGTTCTTTCTCAGTCAAATTCTTGCTTAAGATACCTGAAAAAGTAATAATACATATGTAACTAAAACAAATTTCATTAAGCTTTCTTTCCAAGGAATGTTCAGATGTTTACCATGCATAACCATGTATAGGCACTCATATCTACGAAGTGAATAAACATGTAGAATTTAATGAGAAATGTTGTTACATATTTGATCTTATTGTGTGATGGTAATGTTATGTCACTGTGAGACAGAGCCTTTGGAAAGTCGTATTTTTAACTCTGATGAATACGATCATTTTATTGCCTTAAAGTGCTCGTCGTTGTAAACGCTTCCACAATCCTTACCGAAGGTTATTAAATTTTCTAAATGCACCTGAAGTTTTGCAAGTGTTTGAGTGCAATGTATCCTTTTTATTGTTTTTATCGAAGATTAACCACTTGCGCTAAAAAGACGTGCCACGCACGTCGAGATTCCTTGTCTCAAACCGCGCGAAAAAATGAAAATAACGTGGTGCACAATTCGCCTAACAACGAGATTGTTTATTTCTCGAGTTACAGCTCTGAATTGCACTCGCAGACGCGGAGCGGCGTAAATGAGACACTTTACCGCTTGTTATATTGTAACGCACGGCACCGCAACCGTAAAGTTTAGTCGTAGCGCAATTGGTTAAATATTTTACCTTACTTTTAATACAGTTTGGAATATCATTAAATTACGCCAATAAAATTTGTATATCCCATTCTGGAAATGTGTGTAAATTTTAATAAAACCTGAATCGGTGTAATTTTTCAAATCCCTTGTACAAGAGAGGTTGTAAAGGTTATATTAAGTTTCTAACAGTTTAATTTTTAAACAGGATTTACTCTCTATTTTCGTTTCCCACGTACTATTCGATACCAGAATAAGTTTTTTTATAGCGCCTTACATGTAAATGAGGCAGAAAAAGTATTTAAAGGAAGGTTTCGCTTAATTCAGCAGAAGCCATCATTAGACCGATTATAACTTATACTGCTCCGACTTGGACAAGTGCAAACAAAGGAGACATCCACAAGTTCCAAGTTCTTCAGAATAAATTTCTAAAGACGCTCCTAACTTCATTAGAAACGAAAATCTACACTGGAATCTCAAGATTGACTATATGGAAGACTTTTTACATAACCTCAACTCGAACTTCTTCCAGAAAGGCGCGACGAACAAAACAGCAAACTTTGCCCATATTCTGAATTACGAAATCATCTTAGAAGATTTGTTTATTCGTCCAAGCGATTCATATTTAATCAGGCAAGCTTGATATTTATTTTAAATTTACAATAACATGATCATACACACGATGTTTACGTCCTCTCTTCGTAAATATTGACGCCGTAGCATTTCGACCAACCATCAGCAAACGATTACAGAATTTTCACCTGCTTTTACTCGGGAATTAATGCTGTGATTTTTACATCATTTTACTCATACCACCCATAATTTTCGATTATTTTGATGGGCAATATGCCTAATGAACTTAGCAATTACAGAAATTAAAAAGCGAAATTTGACTTTACTATTTCACAAACAGCAACGCCGATTGGATAACTCTGACTAGGCCACGTCCCTTGCTCCTCGACCAGCATTTCTTCTCACCCATGCAGGTAGGAAGTAAGAAGGAGTCGCCCTAAACAAGTTTCTCCCGTACCCTGCTCTGAAGCACCGGCGATCCCTACGTGGTGACCAAAACATTGGGTCATTTACCATTGAGTTCTATGGGATTTGACGCGTTCGGATGTAAATATTTTGTAATTACGTCGTAAATATACATATAAATGTATATATTTTCTTTTTCTACAACACTTCAGAGTCCTAAGTATGTGAAAACAACATATTTTTAAACAACATTTCATTCTGAACGAAATTAAATGCTATACTTTTCATAGGACACTTTTCTCAGAATGGTTTAATTTGAATGAAATATTTTCACAAGTTTTCGTTAATTACATTAGAAAAAAAATTAAGGTAATTCGATTTTATTCGGTTAAGGTACAAAAATTAAGATCTAAGTTTATTGTATTATTAATATTAAAATTATGCATTATTTCTTTTCTATTTATAGAGTTTCTTCCTAAAATACCTTCTTAAATATGACATGATTTTTTGGCTTCTGAGGCATCTTTTAAATCGAAAAATGTAAGTCAATTTATAATTAATGCTCTATTCGATTCATTTTAAATTAGAGAATTATTATGAATTCCTAATAATTAAATAGGTATTAAATAGTACTTGACTTTCTCTGAACATTTCTGAAAGGGAATAAAATAAGTTTTTTTTAAGCATTATTTAAAACTTGTAACTGAGTTATTATAAAAGTAAGGGGAATAATTCTTTTAATTATACTTATCAGATTTTTTTTACCCTTCATTTCAACAATACATATTCCAAACTCTTTATTACGTTCTTAAGTGCGCATCTCATAGCATTTGCTTTACAATACCTTTTAACAGATTGCTTTCCAATACGAACAATTCTTGCTTAAATATTTCTCAACAGGATTTCAATTTATGTTTACAATTCAATATTAAAGTTATTATATATTTAGATAACATTTTAAATCATTATAATTAGATACATTAATAATTTAATTTAGATTTCTTCACAGTGCTTTCACAGTTGTTTTATAAGTGAATAAATTCTTCATTTCAAATACATTTATAATAATAATTTAATGAATATTAAGTATTTTGCCAAAGACATTTACATGCTTTTTGCAAGCACATGCATAACCCATACATATTCCTATTTTTCATTTCCGGCATGTGCAAATCTTTAATTTCTGTCATTTCACGTGTGTATAAGTTTTTCGTGTAATTTACACTAATTTAGCATACACCCGAAAGTTTTACATAAATATATATATGAATATAATTTGAATAAAAATATATAAGTATTATTTTTAATCCCACTCAAAGGTCAGTTTTTCTTCAAAATTCCTCACGATGGCATCTCTCTCTTAGGCAGATAGCCCTTGCATGCGTTACTCTATTTAAAAAAACTTAATCTGACCTATGTGCCTAATTACAAATATTTTAACATACATAATTTTATATTTATAAAACGTGTAAGCCCAAAGTGATATTTTTCAGATATATAAAATTAAAACGATTAAAACGGGAGTGGGTAAAATGAAAGCCTCTCTCTAAAAAACTTTAAAAAGGTACAATAATATATGGATGTGAAAAAAATTTGCTTTATTTAAAACATTTTGACGTTTGGAAAATAAAATAAAAGTAGCGAATACTCTATCAAGGGTATCGAAAGACGTATACAATTTTAAATGTACCGTAAGGTATTTTTCATTCTTTAAGCATAAAATTTTTCTTAAAATCTATATTTTTGTAGTGCAACAGCTTACAATTTTATAAAACAAATTCATAATCAAAATCGCTGTTGTTAGTTATCGAAAAATAACCAAGATGTGATTTTTGCGTAAATGTCACTAAACTATACAAATTGCTATTATCCATCACACTATGAATGTTTCTTTCATGCGAAAGTGTCCCTTTTTCGATTTCTATGGAACTGTCGTGTGTCGAAATACTATCAGAATCTTGTCAAGTGAGCTTCTGAATGTAAAAAAGAACACCCCATCTGGTGACCCAAGCTCCAAAGCAGTGCGTCACTTTTAGCACGGGTTGGCCCCTCCTTCCTTTCCTACCTCCATGTTCTCACCCGCTCCAGTCAGCATTCGAGCATACATACATAAGGCACCATCTGCTCTCGTATTCATCCTATCTTCCCCTCAGAGGGGAAAAAAATCAGGTTTTTACCCTGCTTTAGGACTTTGAATGTCTGGGAAGTATTTCTACGCAATAGATACCCAGAACAACACAGCAGTATCGCACTAAAGCAGAAGAGCTTAGGAGTCCTTAGTGTCTTTAGTCCTTAGTGTTTGATGTCAGGCTACTTCGCTGTTTAAAGCTATGATATTCGCTGGTTAATTTAATTAAAGGTCAACTGTGTTATGAACTAACGAAGACGAAGATAAACTCAATAAGACGAAGATACACTCAATTATCGAGTGTATCTTCGTCTTAGTTTAGCTTAGCATTAGGATTAGTTTCTTATTTTCTTGAGTTCAAGCCCACATAGAGACTTTTCTGTAAGCATAGAAAGCGCGGTCATCTGTGTTCTTAGTATGAGATAATAAAGGGTGAATTGAACCCTTCTCTGGATTTTTTCATTTACACACTTGGACTCAGCGATAAATCGCTACCTAGTTCAACTCGGTTTCTACGAAGTCAAGCATAGACAAAGCACTTAGAAATATTACAAGATTAATTCATGCCCCAGATGTACTATAAATTCATCTTTTTATTTGTTCCTCGTGTTCTTTCTAAAAGTAATGCTAACATATCATACACTGCTCACCATTCCTATTATGGACAACCACCGCAACACAGAGCATTTTCCTAAAAGGATTTCAATTTGTAGCATTATTGATGTGTTTCATATTTTACTATTACGGCAAATTAATTAAAATAAAGTAGAAATGGCATTGGCATCACTCTCGGTTCTGCAAGGAGTTTTAAATTTCACCTCCTGAACACTCTCGTTAGGTCGAACAACTGATGACATGTGCAATAAAATCTCTTGTCGGATTTAAGAAACCATTTTCTTACCGTTGAGATGGAGGAGGATGTCATCTTCAAGCTCAGTGTAGACGGAAACATAAGGTCTCTCTTCAGATACATTATGTCTTTTCAGCCATCCACCACAGGCGAATTGATAGAAGTCATTACATGGGTCCACAGTCTCATCTAAACTGGGTATGATGGCAGCGGCTGAAAGGCAAATAAAATCAGATTACATAAAGATAATTTCATTTGAAAATAATTATCGTTTATAATTATTATTTTTTCATTTTAGCGTTATCAAATCGAAGAGTACCTTTATAGTACTGCAAAATTATTAAACAAAAATATATTATATAATTGTGAAGAAGAGATATTCTCTATCATAAGTAAACAGATGTTGTTTTCTATTATAGATACCAATGGTGGCGAAACTCAATTCCGTTGAAATCTGGATTGCGAAAATTCGTTATCTATTAGCTTCTGTATTAAACATCTCCCTAGGATAATTCCTCTGAGTGAAATAGCTCTCTGTACCAACACCTGAATGTCTGACTTCTTGCTAAAGACGCCATATCGTATTTGGGTGGCAATAAATTGCTGTACGTGTTTGCTTAACCATAACATATAAATTTCTGTATAATGGTAAAATGATGATAGAAATTGCAGTGGAATTTACTTTTAATTCTTTTTAAGTCATTTTTAGTCCAAAGGGAGAATTTGCACAGAAGAACTATTAATTTCGTTTTGGCATTTTGCCTTGATTCACTAAGAGCGTTGTTTCACTTTTCAGATTGTTGCCACCAAATATTATCGCCCTGTACTATATCTAAAGAAATTAACTAATGAAGAAACTGCATGAATGTATGTATGTTTCTTGCATTGTGAAAAAACAATGCTACATAGAGGTATTAAATTTTGAATAACCTAATCCTCCTGCGATTACGGGCATCTGGAAGCCCAAATTCGAAATTTGGAATTTCTTTTATTATCTATCGATTTCATATTTTGTAAAGCTTTAACCAATTTTTGATTAACAAACTCAAGGATTTCGAAGCGAGCAATGGCAACGTTGTACAGAAAAAAAATTTTTGTCTCCAGCGCGCGGAACTGTGTGTCGGAAAAGAAATAAAGGTAACACACAAAATGTTAAAGATAACACACAAATGTAATTTAAAAATCCGTTCAGATTTTTTCTTTCTTTATTCTTTTATTTTATATATGTTTTTGTTTACATTATATGTTAACATGTTAACTTCATACAGTTTGAAATTTAGAATATGTGAAACAATATAACACAACGTTTGCAAGAGCTGAAATAAAATCAACAAATAAATTTCTTTTTTACTGAGAAAATACTAGACAAGAACATTTTAATGTCACCTGCTTGGTGGCATTCGACTGTCGAGCACATTTCGCAGTTTGAATAGTTTTTGAAGGATGACACTAAAGCTTTTACATCTACTAACATGTCAGCAACGTTTCGTGTACCTGAAAGAGATAATTTCTTATATTTTTCAGTCATGTAATAAAATATTTATGGATGAGCATATAACAGAAACACAATTTAACCCTATTTTTATGTTCTCCAAATTTCAAGTAAGGCTTGTGAGCCCCTAAAACTTGTTAATTAAAGAAAATCATAAAATTGATTATAAAAACATATTTTCTGCTTTATGCCTGCTTTCCTAGCGTTGTATTCTACATAATTTCAGTATTTCTTAAGAAAAATTAACAAACTTCTATCCCAAGCCTCGACAAGGAATGAAGACTTTGGACCTTGATCAACCCTTTGAGTACATTTGACGAATGAGACTCGTTATCTGCTTACTTGGGAGAAGTTACGTGGACGAGTCTGACTCGTCCACCGTAATCAGTGTTGGTACTAAAATGCTGTTTCAAATCAAGTAAATCAGTGTGAATCTGTGTGAATCAAGTAAATCAGTGTTGTAACTGAAATGCTATTTCAAATCATATAAATCAGTTTGAATCATGTGAATCAAGTAAATCAGTGTTCTAATTAAAAAGCTGTTTCATGTCAGTAACATGTTCGTCCCACAAGCATAAAAATCTTCAAATAATTCAGTACTCAATTGGTTAAATAAGGCCACAATAGCCTATTTTATTGCTTCCCGAAGGAACGTCTTACCAAATTTGTTCCGACAATCTTTCTTTCATGTACACACCGCATTGTTTCTACCCTCATAGGTGTTCTTCCTGGTTTAAGATTAAACTTCAGAATAACCAAAAATGTTTAAATGAAATTACATTCTTTGCTCCAGCATGATCAAAAATAATGTATTAAAATTTCGATTAAATTACATTATTGTTGTACGAATAGTTAATACTCGTAAGGATAATAATAACAATAATCTTCCTGGATAACCCCGGATTCCAAAGCTTCGTGGGAAGCCATTTCGACCATCCTAATCTTCGTACTACTTTAAGCAGCCGAGATATTAATTAAATACTTCGTAGAATATACTCCTCAAATGAGTCTGAAAAAGAAAAAAAAAGGCGTCTTGTTGGAAATCGTTTACAATTGATTATTGAATAAAAAATAAAATGTACTAAATTAATCTCCTTATCGGAAGTGTTAAAAAGTAATATTTTAAAATTTAAATACGTCATTTCCTATTTGTATTCTAAACTTACCTCCTTGTAAAATATTTCTTTTGTATTGCACTTCATGCAGTCAATATTTTATATTGGTTTTTCGACGAGGTTAATGAAATTATGATTTCATAGCATATAGCGTTTTAGTATTTCTGCTTTTGAGTTGTAAGCAATGAAGGAAACCCAACAAAGTCCTTTAAGTAAGTTTTCCTATGCTATTTATAATCTAAAAAGATTATTTATCATTTTAACTTCTTCTTACTGATGATAATTATATGCTATCAGAGTTAAATTTGATATGAGATAGATTTAAAAGGTTACAGAATACTTTATGTAATTGAAATGCGTTACGGATGGAACGCAAAAAAATTTGAAACTATGCTATTTCGCGTTTGACCAAATAGCAAAATGAAAGTAACATATAAATGCAAAGAAGCTGAACAAATGTATGTTGCCTGCTTACATACAAAATCCAGCTTACTAATAACTGGACGTAATTTTATGACTACGTAAAAGGCATTTAGTAGGTCGTAAGCCAATACACTTTTAACAGATAAATGTATGAAATAACTTACTAGGTTTACTATATAGCTTCTTTTCATTTCAATGTACTTAGCACTTCAATTATTTAAATACTTAATTACAATTAAGAAATTTATAAACATAAGTTTCATCGAATTTTCACCTGGTCTCTCTTCTATCATCATCGTTGCTGTAACTTGAATTACTCAAATATCGATTAACACAACCATCATATTAAAATTTGAAAGAAAAAAGTCACTGTGTGTTAAATCTTATAAATACGATAGGTAGCGGAGAAGCTGAGATTCTCTTTTTGAGCAATATTCACTTACGAGACTTTACCGCCAGGCAAAGCTGCACTTTCTGCTGCGTTTGCTATGGCGTATTGTCTTTACTGTCTGTCGAAGTGGCATACTTTAAATCTGAGCAAGAGCTCCCATCATAAACACATGCTGTTGTAGGTTACATGGGAAATAATCAGTTAGCAATGGTTTAGTGGTCTCTGTTCATCATAAATAATGGTTGTCAAAATCTTCAAGCCAGACTCAGGCAGAATTAAGGAGTTAAGACTCATCACACCGTTATCTTGTTTCTTTTGTCGATCTACGAATTAATACTTCTCAATCAGCGGTATCCGTCGTACATAAATATCTTCAGCAAACAGCATTAGAGAACATCTTTCGGAAAAAATCAATTCTTTTTTTTTTTTTTTTCCTTTACTTCTGGCCTCGGCATTTAAAGAACATCAGCTGCAGGCATTTGGCATTGCCCATTTCCATCGCACTTTGTAAAATTGTTACAAATAAATTTTTTCTCTCACATTCCTTGATTTTTTTATGTATTTCTTCAGTGACACGTCCAAATTTGAGCCTTGTTTAGAATAATATATAAATGACACTCGTCGCTGCCTAAAAATGGTATCCTATCTTTTGATAGTAGGATAGGAAGTCGCAGTAAACTAAATTACTTATTCTATGTTTAATTAATATATATTGGTTTTCTGCCTTCAGGAACCAATTAGCAAATGATTTTCGATGGTTTCAAGATTCACAAGTACTGATAAAAAACATAATTTCGCATTCTTACAAAAATCATCTGATAATTACTTGTTACGGTACATAAATTTATTTTTGCGCTCCACGATGTTGATGTAATTGCTTCATCTTATTTTCCAATGCCACAAATTTTAACAACATACTCAAATTCTAAACTTATTAAAAGCCTCTGGATTTCAAACCTTTTTTTTTTTCCTTTTTCGTTCCAAATCCTCCAGTAAAGTAGAAAGACCCACATTTAATTATCATGCATTAATCAATAATTTACCTGATAATCTTTATTTATCAGCTAATGTCACTACATACGTAAAAAAATTGTCAAGAATTCAAATGTTATTACAATTAGCCAATCTTGTTAAAAATACAAAATTTGAAATGAAAATTCTTTTGCCTGCAAGAAAACCATCACCAAAAATAGCTTATATTAAAATCAAAGTTACCTTTCATGAAGCAACCGGGTTTGATACTTGGGCTGTAGAGGTCAGTGCTAAGCGATTCGAGATTTCTAACTGGGACTGTTTCGTCTAATGTGCATATATCTGGTCCAGATTCTAAGAAAATATTAAATCTTTTTTAGAATTCAATGATAAAAGGGTTTGCATTTTAAATAATAGCAACAATATATATACGCAAGATAAAAAAATTAATTGTTAGTTTCCAGTAGTCCCTTAACTCTGTATTTTAATTTGATTTTACTTCATGTTTCTGCTTAGCAGATAGTTATAATAACTCACTCCAAGCTGCGCCATTTCAAAACTTATCCTTCTCATATGGTTCTTGCATACCGCTAGTGAGGCAGAAATTTTCTAAACTAATAAAACTAATAAAAATTTCAAATTGGCAAATCGAAGTTTAATTAACCAATCAAAATGAAGATTAAAACAAACCTAAATCCCTCTGAATCGAGTTTTTAACTTAGACACGCTGCATTATCTCTCTGTTTCTTTTTTCTCCTCTGCCAGTACGCTATTGTCTAATGGTCAATTCTCTATTGAAATTAGTTGTCATAAAGATATAGAAAAACATAATTGTGATCAAGAAAGATGTGCGCATATTGCCCCCGTTAAGTTGTGAAGGTGTTTGTCAAGACTTGGTTTGTTCAAAAATAAAATTGCTGAATTGGCTATGACTGCAACTATTTCTTTTATTCATCTCCATGTCATCAACTTCCATATTACTGTCACAGATTGATTCATGAAGAGTCCATACAGCGTAGCAGAACTGAAAATGATCATTGCTATTACCATCCTCAGTCAAATTGAGGAAATGTTTCAGAATGTCACTAGGAGTATGATAAAAACATACATTCATCTAGGAAGTTATCCTTCTTAGCATATTTTTATAAGAATATAGGGTATGCTTCTTAAACACTTGCTGTTTCTATGAACGGTTCAATTTTACATTGAACACTCTGTGTATAAAACAACTGTATTTTGATTTCGTTTGAAGCGTTCAGATTTTAACGATTGCCAAAAAGGATTTATTTAAGGTTTCTTTTACGCTGTCGCTGAGCTCGCAGTCCACCAGTCTATTGTTGCACTCTCTCCTGCTAGCCTTATTATTAAGCACCATTTTCTTCTTTTCTTTTTATTATTAACGTTTTGTGTGCTAACTTTACTTAGTTAAATAATAAATTAGTAACTCGCAGTCCAGCAGTCTACTGTTGCACTCTCTGCTGCTAGCCTTATTATTAAGCACCATTTTCTTCTTCTCTTTTTATTATTAACGTTTTGCGTGTTAACTTTACTTAGTAAATAACTAACTTTACTTAGTAAATAATAAATTAGTAACTCGCAGTCCACCAGTCTACTGTTGCACTCTCTCCTGCTAGCCCTATTATTAAGCACCATTTTCTTCTTCTCTTTTTACTACTAACATTTTGTGTGTTAGCTTTTGTGTGTTAGAATACTGCGAGTTACTAATTTATTATTAATAATAAATTAGTAACTCGCAGTCCAGCAGTCTACTGTTGCACTCTCTGCTGCTAGCCTTATTATTAAGCACTATTTTCTTCTTCTCTTTTTATTATTAACGTTTTGCGTGTTAAGTTTACTTAGTAAATAACTAACTTTACTTAGTAAATAATAAATTAGTAACTCGCAGTCCACCAGTCTACTGTTGCACTCTCTCCTGCTAGTCTTATTATTAAGCATCTTTTCTTCTTGTCTTTTTATTATTAACTATGTAACTAAGTAAATAACACGTTCTTTGCACTTATGTCACATAAAATTCAAGAACAAATTCACAAAATAATTAAAAACAGCATATATTTAGAATTTCCGACGGACAGTCTCGGGATAAAAATATTTCATTCCATACAGTGTTGCCACGGCTCGTTTTCAAATCGTTGAGTTTTTTAATCAAAAATTCGCTAAAATTTTATAAAATATGAAATATAAAATTAAAAATTAAAAATTCTGGATTTCAAGTGCACACGTTCGGGTGAAAAACAAACATTATTCAACATTTAATGCCTCTAGCCGTCGTTGATTTTTCACAATGCAAGGAGTACCCATACATACAAACATAGATACTTCATCATTTAATTTCTTTAAAGAAAATACAGAGCGATAATATATGGTGGCAGCAATTTGAAAAGTGATTCACCGTTTATAGTGGAGGATGCAAAATGACATTTCTAGACTATAGCCCATTCGAGCTAACGTACTTTTGGGCTAATAAGTGAATTAGTAGCTCGAATATGTCTGCCACATTTAACCCTCCAGGCGGCAAGGCCGTATATATGCGTTCGAAAATAATGGCTCTCATAGCGGCAAGGCAGCATATATGCGTCCAAATATTTTGGCCCTCATGGCGGCAAGGCAGCATATATACGTAAACCTAAATTTTGGCACGAAACGGCAAAGCAGCATATATACGGCCTGTCTCAGAATGCCCTCCCCTCACTGCTCTTAATGTAAACTGACAGGTGATAATTTTTCTCTGCGGGAGGTAATTGAGGAGAGGAAACTATCTATTCGCTAGGGGCAAATGGGTTTCATCGTTAGGTTTTGAATAACAGTTCGAAATAAATAGCTCGTTCAAAACTTCCAGCTGTTCTGTGCTTATACCAGCTATAGTAAACTTAAATGTTCATATATAAATGTAAAGAGAATTTTCATTTTCCAGCCTAATTATTCTCCAAATTTTAGATGTAGTTTGGCAAAATGTAATTGGAATTAAAATTAAAATTGCAAGAAACTGAAACAATATTTTGAAATATGTGATTTCAATTATATTGCAATTGTAATTAGCTTCGCAATTACAATTAGAAAGTAAGTACTTTTTAAATGCAACAATAATGTATGTAATTGCATTTTAATTCTTAAGTCTTACAATTACAATGCAATGATAATCACAAACATTATAATTATATAATCTAATTACAATTACAAAATTTTATTGCATCTAATCACAACTACGGTAATATTAGCTAATTATAACGTAATTTTAACTGCAATTGCAGTTGGTAATTATAACTACGTAATTAGGAAAGTAATTGTCTCTGATAATTAGAATTACTTAACATAGTGAAATTATGATGATAATTGTAATTCTAAGTGTAGTATGCAATTGTAATAAAATTATGCAATTACTAAGTAGTTATAGTTAAAAAGTAGCTGTTTTTTTAATTACAATTACAATTTACGTAATTTCATTTAAATTACAATTACTCTATATTTGTGAAATCCAATTTCATATTCAATGCAACTGCAATCATATAATCTAATTACAATTAGACTGTCATTGTAACTCCAGTAAGTAATTATAATAATGTAATTAGGATAGCAATTGTTTCTGATAAAAGCAGTTACGTAGCCCAGGAAAATCATGATCTTAATTGCAAATGTAATTGCAGAATGCAATTGAAAACACATAGTAATTGGAATAATATTATGCAATTATCTTGCAATTACAATGTAACAATTTTTAATTACATATACAATTTACTCATATGCATTTTAATTATAATTGCATTTTAATTGTGAAATCTAATTGAATAAACAGTATAACTGTAATTATATAATCTAATAAAAATTACAATGCAATTGTAATGACCTCTTAATTAAAATTGCGCAGCAGATGATTGTAACTATTTAATCAGAAAAACAACTGCCCCTTATAATTTCAGTGACATAGGCTAAGGAAATCGTGATAATTTTTTTAAAATTACAGTCAATAATATTATATTCGAAATGTTTCTGCATTTTGGATAATGAGTTTTTAAATAATACAACGGGATAATCACCTATAAGAAAAATATTAATATTTTCTGTCATGTCTTCTGAATCATCTTACATATATTGTAGTTTGTGGTACCAGCATAAATAGGAGTTTATTTAAAGGAAATATTTTATATAGACCGAAATGCACATAACGTTAGTAAGCAAATATGTATGTTTATGATCTTCGATATACATGTGAACTTAAATTACAAGATTAAGGGAAAGCAAGCAAAGAGTTTATGCCAGTGCAAAGGGATGTTTTCGCAAAGGATTTGTTACGGGACGCTTGTCTTGTTTACATTACACAAGAAATAAATCATAAAAATTACATTTATCCTTTTCTTTTCAGAAAGGTTTGGTTTGGTTTATTTAATTATGGCAAAGCACACTAGGGCTATCTGCCTATGAGGAGGGATGCCTTCGTGGAGGACTTTCTAAGGGAAACTGGCTCGTATACACGTTACACATGGGGAAAACCACGAAAACAGCCAGCCCGTTCGCGAGATTCGAACCTCGGACCGAACTACCAGTGTTCAGCGACTTTACCGCTCGGCCGCTGGTGGGTCTCTTTTCAGAAAGGAGATCATCAAGGACTAAACTAAGCCTCATAATGTTATCCAACCTATTGCTTTAACTGGTAAAAAAGGATTCTGATCAGCAATCAGTATGCTTAATTGCTGTGTGTATTAGACATTTTACTAAATCCATTTATTATGAATTACCGCCCAGACAGTAAAGCGGTTCGTGACTCTGGTTGCCGTACCGAAGAGCCTGGGTTCGAATCCCGGATAGGGCATGAATGTAATTTCTTCGTCCTCTTCATAGGTGGCAACGCTGGTCCACGTATTAGTTCCCTCCTTAATAACATGACCGGCCTTAGTAGTGATCAATGTCTATAAACGGCTACTACCTGCCATTGGAAAAAAAAAATTACGAATTGGTCTTTTATTCAACATAACACACATTTTCCATAAATAGTTAAAATGCATTATTCAGTTACAAGTGAAAGTACTTGCATGAACTATTTTCCATCATTGTTTCACGTAAGAACAAATAAAAGTACAATTTTCTTATGCACCTGTGATTGTCATATTATTTGGATTACGGTAAAGACTGCAAAGATGCTTCTGTGGAGGACTTTCTAAGGGAAACTGGCTCATGTTCACATCACCCGTTAATAAAAGCAGGAAAAAGATCTTTACTTTAATTGAATGCAACGAAACGTTTAAGAAGAATGATGTACTCATAGAGAACTTTCTAAAATAAAATGATTTGTATTCATGTTACACATAAGGAAATCCACGGAGCTATCTAAACATTTAGAT